ACACATGACTTTGTGGGGCGACTTTCTGCCACTCCTAGACTTTGAGTCATTTTTCTACATTTTTGTTAATTTTTCTTTTATTACCACTACAACAAAAATATAGTTTTGGCATGCACGGAGACAACCTTGTTTTCCATGCGCATGGTTGCCTTGATTTGTGCATCGTATCTTGCCTCATTTTTCATGTGCAAGCTCTTCTCGTTTTGCGTCCTAGAAGCCTGCCCCATTTTCTACAAGCGGAGGCCGTCTTGTTTTGGGTGCCATGGTCTGTCTCGTTTTGCATGATCGAGCCAACATAACACCCATATTTTTTGACAAAAATGCAAATTATTTATTTTTGCAAAATATTTTTCCTAAGGATTAAATCAAACTTTTTAAGGAATTTGGAAGTGATTTTACAATTAATTGAGCATAAAATGCATATTTAGTATAATATTTGAGCCAAAAACTAAAAAAATAAGTGAAAAACATAGTAGTGAGCCCCATAACATTGTCAAATAAGGTTCGACACTCAGGAATCTCAATGGAAAGTCTCACCTTAATTTTTAAAACTTCATAGTGAGGCGAAAGTGAAAATAAATACATTGAACTGTGATTTATGTACGAATTTGCAAAACCGACTGAAAAACCATGAGTCTTTATCCAATTTTTTTGTAAAAAATGCAAATTTTTTATTTTCACGAAATATTCTCCGTGAGCATTAAGAAAATCATTATAATGTATTACTATTTATTGAGTAACTAGTATATATTTAGTAGAATATTTAAGAAGAAGTAAGAAAAAAAAAGTGAAAAATACAGAGTGTGCCCATAAGAAATCGCAGAGCCATGTTAAAATGTATATTTAGTGTGTATATATATATATATATTTTTTTTTTTTTTAATTATAGTCACCCTTTTTTGATTGACAAAGAAGATTCTATTTGTATGTAGATCAGATTTAAATAAAAGGAAAATTAACAACAACAAAAAAAAAATATTCAAATATCTTTAAATTTACGTTTTAAATTGTTGATTACACAATGGATGCCAAGTCTTGAACACCATGCTTGCAGTGGCATGATGTTTGTTGATATGATCAAATCTTTCTCTCTCTCTATAATCTCTAATAATTAATAAAACACTCATTGTCAACCAAAATCCTATGAAATTACCAGTTTAACCCTTTAATTAAAACAGAACATGACTAAGAAATATGGCATAAATTTAACCAAATTTTGCTCTTTTTTTTTTTTTTTCTTCCAAAGCATCACCTACATATAATCCTAATATATCTCTAATTAATAAAAAATAAATAAATAAAAAAAACTTCCCACTCTCACATTCTCTATCACTCTTTTCTTCTTTCTCGCCAAAATCCTCTTCAACCGCTGTAACCACCCCACCTCCTTCATCCCCTTCTCCCACCCAGCCCGCCTCTAACCCACTTGCAAATTATGTAGGCTCTTCCTCTCCTCCAACCCTAATTGCCCTCCGCTAGACCCACCACCCAACAACTTCTCCCACATCCTCTGCGTTTTCCTGCACGACCCCTATTTCGCCGCCCCCTGTCGCTTTGACCCACGAATCCTAGACTGGAGGCCCTCCCACCATGAATAGGCATCCAATGTTCTGAAGGTATGAGCCTCATTATTTAGTTTCTGCATCTTATGCAAGGTTGGAGGAAGAAATTTTTAAGCATTTAAAATCCCTTGCAATACATTCGATGCTTCATTGAAATACATATATTAATCATGATTTATCACTCCTCAATTACTTATTTTGTTGCATTCGATTGTTTTTACTTTGTTACAGGGCTTGGTTTCATCCAAGTAGAGTTCCACATTATACGACTTTTGGGAGATGTACTGAAGTTAGTGATGATTTTAGTGTTTCATGTAACAATATCTTTACAAATTATTATAAAATTATGAAAGTATTGCCTAACTCATAAGTTTAGTTTTATTTCTCTAATGTTAGTAATTGTTTTCATAAGTTCATGTAACTCATACCATAGTGAAAAGATTTTTTTCTTCAAAATGACGTATACAGTGCACATTGATTATAACTCATACCACAATAAAAAGAAAATTGAGTTGCACACGTATAGTATGTGTGCCGGTTGCTAATATGTATTATATATTACAATATAAATTCTGAAGGAGCATGTTTCTAGAGTCTGTATCGCAGTGGTTTGATGCATTGGGCATTGTACTTTCTCGATGCATGTTGGATTAATGAACGGCGGTGTGCAACTCTCTCCCTCCACTCCCGCCGTTGGCTGTACAATCCACCAGAGTTTTTCTTTTTTTATCCCTTTTATTTTCTTTTCTTTTTGGGTAAAGTGGAAAAACCCAAAAATTACAAACTTCATAATTTTGTAGCCCAGATCCATAGATGGAGATGTGGCCTCATTTAGTGTAAGCCCAACTTCACGGGGAGGCATGTGATAATGATTTTAGGGCCCATTTGGAAAGAGAAGCATTCGCGTTTTAGAAAGTGATTTTATGGAAAAAAAAATATTCATGTCTACTATTGGTTCTTCTTAAAAGATGAAAAAAAATTCATTCATGACATTGGTTGATGCAGTGAAAAAGGGGATATGTAGGATCGATCATTGTTAAATCTTAGAATATAAGCTGAAGTCCATCAGCGATCCAGAATCCGTTAGGCAATAGAGAAAACTCCAAAATTAATCGACAATAATATGAATGAATTGAGAAACACAACCCTAAAAGTTGTTTATATATGTAAGAGTCTAAGCAAACTATAGCTGCAAAAGGAAACTAAAATACGAAATAATTTAATCTAAATTCCACGAAAAAAAAATTAAATTAAAATACATAAGGAGCAACACATCAAGTCTAACCAATATAACTATACCCACATTTTATTTCACAACCTTAAAAGGCACGCAATCAAATTACCAAATGATGTATGACACTATTATTTTGTTCATAGCCTCATTTATTAACCTAACTATTTATTTTTGGAGGGAAATAACTAATTTAATTGTAAAAATTAAAACATACCATGATCTACCAAACTATTACCATTATTTCCCATTTTAATTTGAGTCCATTAAAAAAAATATAATTCGAGTTTTTGACTGGGACAACAAACAAGTAAACCCAATAAAGAAAATATGGGCTTCTTTGAAAATGGCCCAAATATAAAAGGAAGGAGGGAAAATCTGAAGAGAACCCGTCACGCGCGCGTGGCGAGTGGCAAATGGGATTGCATGACAAAAACAAGAACAAAAGTTAAAAAAACCGACAAAAATGCATTAAAAGGGTCCTCAACAGAAAATTAAAAAAAGATAGCAGAAAGTTAATACCATAAAACCACACCACTAAAAGATAAAGTAAAAAGGAAAAGTCTTTTTTCTCCTAATTTTTCAAAAAGCAATTTAGACACATAAAACATATTTACATTGTTGACACACTATTTAATGAGATGGGACTTATCTAACTGCATTTAATGTGTCATCAAGTGTGTCTAAAGAGAGGTACTATCTACACACTCATTTTTAATTCTCACTCACATTTTTCAATTTTTGGTTGTTGGATTAAATGAATTGAAGAAGATTAATGAACAAAAAATAGTAAGGGTGTGTGGGAGGTACAATTAGCTCTGAGAGTAGCACTATCTATGTCTAAATAGCATTACAACGATGTGAAAGTTACCAGTGTGTCATCAAGTGTGTCTAAATAGCCAAGGGCAGAGCCAGAATTTTTTTCTTGGGTGGGCTAGTTGAAAATAGTACCATAAAATGATATGTTTATTTTTTTTGCTTATATAAAATTATATAATAATCAATATAAAAGAACAACAATATAATATAAACTATTCTCAAAATCATAATCTTAACCGATAAATTCAAGGACCATATAAATAATTAACCTACCAATTAAATCAAGAATAAGTAAATAAAGAGATTAAGAATGTACCAAATGTGACATTCATTGGAAAATTACAACGGAAAGTCAAGAATTGCGGAGATAGGGATTTAATTGTGTATTTAAAGAACTTTATTAATCTTTTCTTGAGTAAGAAGCACATAAGCTAAATTACATATGGTAAATGGTCTTTTCCTTTAAAGAATAGAATAAAGGGGGACTGGAGATAGAACTAATTTATAATTTTTAGCAGAAAACGTATTATTTACTACCTCTCCTCTACTAAATATACATTAAATAATAATCTGTATTGAAATTGAGTAGGCTATAAGCATGAGTTTACAAAAGAATAGATCTATCACAAACCCATTTTACTTCCAACACAGCCTTATTAATATTTTGTTAGTGATCATCTTCAATTCATTCAATCTGAACAACCAGCAATTAAGAGAGGTATGTAAGAAGTAAAAATGAGTGCATGGACCCTCATAGAAAACCTCCCTGGACTACGACCCACCTTAGCCTTGTGGGTGGCTACGCCATTGTAAATAGACAGTGTGTAAACAATGATATTAGCTTTATGTTTCTAATTGATACACAACTAATCTAGACATATAATAGAAGAAATCACCTAGATTAGAGATTGTGTCAACAAGTCTGTTAATTTTGTGTATGTAAACAACATTATTGTTAGCCTGTTTAAGTTACTCTAATTTACAATAAGAGAAATTTGAACTCAGTTAACATTGGCCTAATGCAAATTTGCAAAGAAAAACCCTTCTCTCAATCAAAAGTGGTATTCACACACCCATTTTACCTCACTCGCACCTTGTTAATTTTTTACCATTAATCTTCTTCAATCTATTCGACTCGATGATCGAAAATTGAGAACGGTATTTGGATAGCAGGATCCTATCTCAACAAGCAAGAATAGGACAAATTAAGTCCCAATAACACCATAATTATGCAATCAAACGACATGTTGAGCAACTGCATGAGCTCCACATCATCATCAAAATTTGTAATTATCTTTTTAAATTTTCAAATTTATTTCGTTTTTAACCAAAGAACACATGAATTGTGGCAAACGAGCACTGGCATGGTAACGCTTCAGAGTCACAAGTTGGAGGATGCCCGGCAACCGTTTTTTTTTTTTTGGGGCTCGCTCATTGCCTGTTGTTTTACACTTTCCCCTCCTCTCTCTCTCTCTTTCTCTCTCTCTCTCTCTCAAAACGCCTCTCAAACATCCTCCTCAGTCCTCACCCTTGTCCTTCACTCCTTTTCATGCTTAACGCACGTTTACCTCCTCTCTCTCCTCACCAAACCAAACCGCATTGTTCTTAGGTTTCTAGTTAGCTTAACCTCGACGCGATTTCGCAGTTGTTTTCGTTCTGTCACTGTCTCTCTATGTCATTTTTTGTGTTAGTGAATGCGTGTGTTTTTTCTGTTTTGCCGGGAGAGACGAAGTGATGATTTTCTAGTGCAAAATGTGTTCTTTCTCTTCGAACTCGTCGCCCTCTGAGATTCTGTTTCTGGGTTTTTTTGCTTGTTTTGAGCCCGGCATTCTCTTATGTTTTAGCTGCAAATTTTACTAGGTGGTCGTCGTTTTGGCTTGCATGTCGTTTTTCTTGCGAGGGTTCTGTCCGGTGGAGTGATTTGAAGCAAAAAAGCTCGATTTTTCAAGTTGGTTTCTGTGTTTTTTGGGTTTTTTGAATTCAGGATTCTCATATCTGAAAAGGGTCCAATGCGTTTCCTAGAATTTTGATTTTTTTGGGCAGTTTTTCTCTTTTGAAGTTGTTCTTTCGGAGTTGTTCTCTGAATTCCATATTTGTTCGTCTTCAAAGGGGATTGAAAGGTTGGTTGCTTAATTTAGGGTTTTGACAGCATGGGATTGGGACGTGGTGCTTCTGTTGTATCTAAGAACGTCGGAAAATCAAAGGGAAAGAAAAAGAAAGATGATCAAGATGAAGTGACAGGATGCTGGATGAAGTTAAGGTTCATGGGGATGTGCATGTCTCCAAAGACCAAACTGAATAGGCCTACAAGTGGAACTAGCTCACCAGCTGGTATAATTCAATTCATTCCTTAAAATTTCGTTTTTGTTTTACGATGTTTTCCTTATACATTTTGTCTCAATTGTTGCGGTTTTACTTTCAGATTAGATTTTGATTGATTCCTTGACAATGTACTAGTGTGATCATGTTATTTAGCATGTCGGTGCGCCATTGCATATAGATATAGATGTTTGGTTTAATATAGCTTATTAGGCTCATCAAATCTTCATTCGGTTCTGCGTTTGTTATTCTGGTTGGATAAATCGATTATTCTGTGATCGTATCTGTTGGTGCATTGTTTCTGGGTTTTGGTTTTATCCAGTGATAAGGTTTCCTTAGTTGGTAGTTTTGTTGCTTCTTAATCAAGAATGGCTAAGAACTTTTGAAAGTTCTACCATGAGGTGTTCTAATTAGAATTGTACTAATTCTACCGAACATTCCAACGTGCATAAGTATTTCCAGCATGTTTGATTTTGACTTTTAAGTATGTTCTGTTATCTAGATTCAACTTTGACTTGTGTTTTCTGGATTCTCCCAAACATAAGGATATAGGGCTAGATCATTCTTTTGTGGTTTTGGATAAATGCTGTGCACGTGTTTGATTCGCTCTGTTCTATATGAAATGTAGCTAGATTTTGTTGACTCGCGTCACTGAGTGCGTGATAAGAGGGATACGCAGGTAGTACCCTTTCATCGTTATGTATAAATTCTGTGCACGTGTTAATTTGAATGTGTGCTATGTGAAATGATTATGTTTCTGCATTTGGCGGAAGATTTTAGAGTTGTCTTGACCATTAGTGCATCTCTAACGTGATGAGACGTGTCTCTCTGTATGTAAATTTTGTAACGGCGATGCTAGTGTCAATTACTCTCCACGTGCGCGTGGGCAACTGACTGAAACAAAACTCTTTCATGAAAGTAACGTAGGTGTGACGCTGTGTTACCTGTGTCCGTTTAACTGTTTAGCAAGCTTATCTTTAGTAGGGAGGGCTCTTATCATTGGTCACCTACTCCTTCAAATAGCCTTGTCCAATTTTTTATGATCATCTAGAAGTTAATCTGTATACAATTCCATATATCCTCAAAGTATGCTTCCCATAATAAAAAACAAAATTAGACAAGGCAAACATTTAACGGGATACTCACATTGGCAGAGCATATTCCTATTACGCATTCTGGTGCATAAAATACCTTAACAATGGTTGATAATTATGCAGACTTCTCTATCAATGCATCTACATATCCTAGTTGTGCCAAATTTAGAATCTGTGCCTACTCTTTATATAAAGCTAAGCTGGTTGTCTTAATTACACCTGATGATTTGACGTGGTATCGTTTGTAAACCAGGGGAAAGTAAAGGTACAAATGACTCGATCAAAGACCAGCCAGCTGCTCCAGTTGCTTCGTCTTCATCCACCAGTAACACAGGAAGCACTGTGTCTACTCCCAAGGCAGCTGAGGAACTGAAAGTGGCTTCTCAGCTACGAAAATTCACCTTTGATGAGCTTAAGTCTGTAACAAGGAATTTTAGACCTGTGAATCTTCTGGGCGAGGGTGGATTTGGTTGTGTATATAAAGGCTGGATTGACGAACATGGAACTACTCCAGTAAAACCTGGAGCTGGGCTTGCAGTTGCCGTAAAGACTCTGAACCATGAGGGACTTCAAGGTCATAAAGAATGGCTGGTATGGAGCCTCATTACCACTTTTTGTCCGTTACCACTAATTAGAATTATGGCGTGTTTGTTATTCACTTTTGTGGATGAAAGATAACATTGTGTCTTTTCCGTGTTGTAGGCTGAAGTTAATTATCTTGGCAACCTACTTCATCCAAATTTAGTCAAGCTATATGGTTATTGCATTGAGGATGATCAAAGGTTACTTGTCTATGAGTTTATGCCTCGAGGAAGCTTGGAGAATCACCTCTTTAGAAGTATGTGCTCAAAACTATATCTCCTCGAAATTTGAATATGGTCTTTCCTTGTGACAAGTGATTAGACGTGTATTTTCTTTTGGCTTGAAGATTTATGCTCACCTTTTAATGCTTGCAAGTGATTTGAACTATTGTGACTCCTACTGAATTTAACCTAGGATAGAGTTTAATGTGATGATGAAGGCCATAAGGATGATGATGGTTGTAGTTTTTGGTGACCAGTTTTCTATTAGTATTAGTGTTGACGTGTGGATACTGTTTTAGCACAGGTCCTAGAGGTTTTTTGCTTGTTAATAGTATGTTTGAAAGTGTTTCTCTTAGGAAAGAAAAGTTTCTATGTTTTAGATGCTATTCATATGCAAAATGTGATACGACAGTCTTAAATTCATGTTTGGAGGTTGTGGATTACGATTTATTTCCTGTTAATTTACATCTAAATAAAGAAAGGGGTTAAAACTTACCTAAGTTGGGTGCACATCACAATTAAATACGGTGAGGTGGTAAGAAAGCTAGAGTTCAAATCACCACACCTCGAAAATTTTCCATGAGATGTTTCATTAAAAAAAGAAAAAAACGGAAGTAAAATGTGTATGAGAGTGTGCAGTACAAGTTCTGGTAGTTTGATTTGTCACGTGCTTCAGTAATAATTTTCCCCACCATTTCAGGGACCTTGCCGCTCCCTTGGCCTATCCGGATGAAAATAGCTCTTGGTGCTGCACAGGGTCTTACCTTTCTTCATGAGGAAGCCAAAAGGCCAGTGATTTATCGAGATTTTAAAACATCTAATATACTGCTGGATGTGGTGCGTTATTGAGCTCAGGTTTGAATGTCATTGTTTTTACCTGATACCTCTTCTTCTAATCAATGATTCTCTTCCAGGACTACACCGCTAAGCTTTCTGATTTTGGGCTCGCAAAAGATGCTCCGGAGGGAGACAAAACTCATGTCTCCACCCGAGTTATGGGCACTTACGGTTATGCAGCCCCTGAGTATGTAATGACAGGTTGGTATCATAAACTATATGAATCTCTTTTTTTGCCTTATTCTCAACAGTTCTGACTGTATCTCGTCATTTATGCTCTTCTGCTTTCATGGAATGTAAAGTAATTTATATAATGCGAGCTATCTTCTATCAGGACACCTCACTTCAAAAAGCGATGTCTATAGCTTCGGTGTGGTTTTGCTTGAAATGTTGGTTGGTAAAAGATCTATGGACAAAAACCGACCCAATGGGGAGCATAACTTGGTTGAGTGGGCACGCCCGCATCTGGGAGACAGGCAAAGGTTCTACCGTCTAATAGATCCTAGACTTGAAGGCCACTTCTCTATCAAAGGTGCTCAGAAGGCGTTTCATTTGGCTGCCCGTTGTCTTAGCCGTGACCCCAAGGCTAGACCTCTGATGAGTGAAGTCGTTGAAGTGCTGAAGCCTCTTCCTGACCTCAATGACATGGCCAGATCCTCATCTTACTACCAAGCCTTGCAAGCTCCTGGGTCTAATCCAAATTCTCGAAATGGCGGTAGAGGGCTGGTTGGGGTTTCAAGGAACGGACAACCAACTAGAACCCGATCCATGCCAAATGGTCCGCATGCCTCACCATGTCACCTAAACTATCTTAACCGATCACCCAGACCTATTTCGCAATCTGCACAATCGTAAGATTGAGCTCCTCTTTGATTTCCATTTCGTTTCCTTGCGTCAGAAGTTAACGTTTAAGGGATATGACAGTGGGAAAAGAAAAGACCTCAGTTGTTGTATTGAGTTAAATGTCAATGTGTTCTTAGTAGAGTCGAGTTTATAGGGTTTTGCCATCAAGCTTAGCTTGTATGGCTAGACATAGATATTGAGCATAGAAATTTACCAAAGGAACATTTAAACTAGCCAAAGAAAAGAATCTTATAGGTGGTGGTTGTATGTGAAGTGTAAAGGGGTTTCCTGTGTTTTCTTGTTTCTTCGTTAGTAACTGTCTTTATCGGTAATCTGCATCTGTGTTTCTCGTCGATTTATTTGTGTCATACGTGAACTGCCTGAGCAATTGCCAACCGTTGATGTGCATGAAACTGCCTGAAGTTTCAAAGCAGCAAACACATCCACTGCGGACAATTGTGCACGCGCACGTGATAAATTGTTCCTTGCATTTGCATTTGGGTTAAATATTCTGCTGAAGAAGAAACTTGACTAAAGTAGTACACAAGCAATTTCACGGCCAAAAAATGATCTAGTTATATCAGTTATGTCAGTTACAAATTTACATGGCTGTAAGAAATCTCGACAAATTTCATGTTCACATCATCTTCCATTTCTTATTTCTCCACAATGAATTCTTGAATTTCAATTCCTGTATGCCGAGCCCCGCCCTGTAATCTAACTAAAATTTCATCTCCAACTTTAAGCGAGGTCACAGGGATTGCAGTTTTTTGCAGTTCGCTTTCTGCAGCAAGTGTAAGTGAAGGTTCAGCAACTGTAAGATGAACGGAGAATAGGAAAAACAATATAATTCAACTTAAGAAACCGGTTACAAGAGTGAGGAAGACCTCTGGAGGGACAAACCAGGGCAACTGTTTCCGCATTCTGTACAAGGATGCTGTAGAAAGTTTGATCATCCGAATCTCTCTGAAGGCAAAAATATTACCAGTATCAACAATAAAGTTTACTAACCAGCAAAAGTACCCAACTCTAACTAAAAGATTAATCAAATTTTGTGAACGTAGCTGTTCAAGACCTTTGCCTCTACAAGGATTAGCGGTCTAGTCTCTATCTTTACACGCCCAACAATTGCTGTTCGTTGATGGCCTTTCTGATCAACCAGGATCACCTCTTTACCTGCTTTCAATTCTGAGAGGTAGCTCGTTTTTCCGCCTGGAACAGCAACATAAGCATGTACAGGTCCCTGCACATTTCACACGTACATTTGGTTAAATAGGCAATAGAAAATAATTTTTTGAAGCCACCAAAATTGTAGCTCCAAAATAATCCAATAATTCTTGTGATAGGAAAGTTTATTTGTTCGTCCACGACTAAGCTGCACACATTATCAACTTTACTTGTAGAGTAATAATATTGTTTACGTATTCAGCCAAAATGAAGAGATAGGTAAAACAGGACATAAAGAAATAATGTTAACATCCTTTTTCATTTTCATCTCGATTTTTCTAAATAACAAAAGCTTCATGGTACCAGATTATTTTCTATATGGGGAGAATATAGAAGGTAAGTGGAAATTGTGTGAAACTGAAAGGATTTATTCTTGGCTTCCATTATTGAAGCGAAAGTGAGCGGACTAGATTGATATGATATGGAAAATAGTAAAGTTTTTATAATGATATCATTTTTAAATGAAAGCCCTATTACCCAAAATGATCCGGATAAGTAACGCAATGCAATCAATCTTCTGTAAATATGCTGTGTAGTGAACATGATGACTGTTGCAGCAGGCACCAATTTACATGATCACAGTTTATAAAATTTCCAGGAAACTCAAAACCAAACTCACCGCATTCACACGGAAAGGCCTGCTTGCAATGTAATTTGATTCCAAGCATTCCGAATGAACGAGGAATAATCCTCTGGCAAAGGAGCCAACCTTGAGGATGTTAAAATTTTAGACTATAAGAACAATGACATCATAGATAACCAACTCATCTGAGTAAAGAGAGCAGCAAGATAATAAAAAGTAGAGTGACAGCATACAAGTAGTCCTTCCCCTGGCCTCATGAGACTACATAGATCAACACAAACTCGATCCCCCATTCCAGCTACTTGGACTCGAGTTACAACGGCTTTTGTCAAGTTCAATATGTTGCTCACTTCATCTCTTCTGTCAAAATAGTCCTGATAATAACAACCAATATAAGAAGAAAAAATGCTTTCCATAAGGCCAACAAGCCCTTAGCCAGTAAGTAATTACCTTTAGGTCAAGAACAGCTTTTACTTCTTCAACTTTTAAGACAACTCCACCCAAACCATGCTCGAGGGCCTACAAACGCAACATAATAAACACGAACAGTATTTAAGGATGCATAGAATCTAAGCGATAGTCCGAAGTTCAATTGAAAAGTTTGATGTATACCTCAAAGAAGACTTGTGCTTCCAATGCGGTTTTCGAAACAGCAAACACTGTTTTCCCACTCCCTTGAAATGCAGCAACTATATTCTCGGCAGGTATGACCTAAGAAACAAAAACAAGGTAAATAAAAAAACCCCGGGAAGGTTTAGACACCGAAATAAAAAGCAACAAACTACGTTTTCGTAATCAATAAACAACATACCTGCCAATCTAGCAAATCAACAACTACATTTTCGCCGAGCGCTTTATCGGGTTGAAGCAGCTCCAACTCCTTGGGGTTGGCGACCTGAAGCATTGTGGCAACTCTTCTGTTCTCACCATCGAAAATCGCTCCCTCTTCGACAAAGATAGTATCGATCAATGCAATTGCTGCTCACATTCCACACCCAAATCATCAAAAGTGAGAAAAAAAAAACAAATTCTAAGGTGAAATTATATGGAATACCACAAGAATCCCCAAATGGGCAACCCTAAAATTGTAAAGTTTTCCCCTTTATCTTCAATTAATTACAGCAAAACCCAAAACTTGAAAATTTTGAATGAGCTTACAGGACCACTCATCGGCAAGTTCACGGCTTTGAGAGGGGAAGACGAAGGTGTTCCAGCCTCTCTCGACGGCGGCCGTCATGACCTGCTTGCTCTCCGTCCACACCCACACCCTCTTCGACTCGCCGTACGTCCCCGAAGACGACGTCGTGGAAGACCCAATAGCAGTGGCGGAGGAAGAGTTCTGGGAAACCATTGAGTGTCTGTGCGACCAAATCAATCTGCAAATGTTCCATTTATCTGCAAACATTAATCAGCAAACAAAATATATAATAAAAATTAATAATTAAATTGACTGAAAATATTCACTTTCAGATATTTTGGTGGCATGGGAAGCGAGGATGCACAGCAACCTGCGGTGGGAGTCAAGGAGCAGATTCTGGCCAAGGAAGCAGCATGCAGCACACCAGCAGCCATCTTTCTTTTTCGTCTATGGAGTCTTGGAGATATAATCCGGTGCGCGCCAAGGACCTCAACTGCCATCGTTTTAACGGCGGTTTTGTATCGACAGGAAATCACAACAACCCGACGTTTTCAAACTTCTAGTAACGACCCGAATTGGACCGGAAAGTTGAGGGTCGACCCAGAACGAGTCACGGTTCAGCTAATGGCTCGTGAAAACAAGCCCATCCGTTGATCAAACTTTGGAGCAATGGAGTTTAACAAAAGAAAAAAAAAAAAAAAAAAACTTTGGAGCAATTTTTCATGTACTGGAAATACGGTCTCTTACACTATATATTAAGCGTTATAATACAAATACATAGATACTTAAAAAAAAAGAAAAAGAATTTTCAACTACTTGCATGATGACACTTAATGTAACAGGTTGTCTTCTCGACACACTAAAAATTTTCTCTAAATTTTGAGGATAGGGGTTGTTTTAAGAGGCTTTAATAAGCCGTCCTTTGCACAATCTTAAGATTATGACAATATTAGTGTACGATCGTTTGAAGACATGTTTACTTACTTGAAATGAGAAAAATTATTTTCATCCTTGATTCTTAGTGTGTTTACAAATACATGAGTAATTCGACTTTTTCTGCATTTACTCCAACCGATAAGGCTTGTAAGACTTTTTAGGAGTCACAATTGTGGACGGGAAATTAGGGTGATTGATAGAATCCGGAAACCCTTGTCTCCAAACATAACGCTGCATGCGGTTCATACACAAAGCCTCCTTTCCCCTTCACATCCTTGAGAAAGTTTCTCGTGTAGAACTGCAAACCGGGTGCATTCGTCGACAGCTCTAAAACCCACCCGGACTTCTTGTCGTGCACCACCGCGGCGGGCTTTGGTTTGTTGCCTGCGCTGCTGTTGAGGCAGTTGTTGATCCTGCTTTCCACAGCATCAGGCTTGAGGAAGTCGTACGGGGTTCCATTTACGGAAGCTATTTTGCCGGTGGGAATGAGGTGGCTAACTTGTTAGACATTAGTTAAAACAACAATGTCATCACTCTAGCATTGTTGTCATGGAAAAATACAATGTTGTGAATATATTAAAGAAGAAGAAAAATAATGACACAATAAGTTAGAGGGGAAATGAAGCCAAACTCTAATAAGAAGTAGAAAGCTATTAAAAACAAATAACAATTAAGAAAACTCCTAAGGCCATCTCCAACCGATGGCTGGCCAGAGGGCTCGTTTTAGCCCTCTGGCCCTTCAAGATTCTCCAAGATACTAATATTTTAATAAACTGTACAGGGCCATATTTGCCTCCATCTCCAACCGAGGGCCAGAAGGCCAGAGGGCTCGTTTTAGTCCTGCCACAAAAAATTATCTCCAACCGAGGGTCAAAGGGCCATAGGGCTAAACATAATTTATTATTTAAAAATTACAACTTAAATTAAAAAAAACAGCTAAGTGACGTCAGCATGACGACTAAGTTTTATGTTATTAAATGTTTTTTAAAATGTTGTTTAAGTTTCATGTTGTTAAATGTTTTTTTTTTATGTTATATAATTTGTATGTTAGTTCATATTATGTAATGTTATTTCATAGGTTTAATGTTGTTTCATGTTACTTAATTTAATTTAATGTTGTATAATGACTTAGGAAGTTATAGGAAAAAAAATATAATTTAAAAAAATTATGAAACAAATTTTGTGAAATAGAAGTTATAGGATAAAAATAGAATTTAAAATAAAATAAAGTAACTATGTGAAATAGAAGTTATAGGAAAAAATGGAATTTAAAAAAAAATGAAACAAATTTTGTAAAATAAAAGTTATAGGAAAAAATAGAATTTAAAAAAAATATTAAAAATAGAAGTTATAGGAAAAATTTTGTAAATAAAAAATAATAATAAAACTATAAAAAAAAATTCTATGCATTTGAATTTTTTTTTTTCTTAAGCATTCCTGTCGGTTATAACCGATAGGATTCCCAGTATTTCTGGCCAGCCCAAGTAGCCAGCCCTCTAGCCTTCTAGCCCTCTCCGATTCCGTGGGGCCCTCTCAGATTCCAGAACCCTCTGGCCTAGCCCTCGGTTGGAGACGGTTTTCGAGCTATTTTCGGCCCTCTGGTCCCCTGGACCCTTCAGTTGAAGATGGCCTAAGAGAAATGAAAATTGGGAAGCCCCCACGAAAAATTTAGTGATATTTTTTTTCACTTGTAAATAGAATATCGTAGGTTCAAATCGAAACTAATTTATTCATCCACCTCTTTATGTGTGTGTATCCTTGTATAAAAAATTAATAATTGCACATATTAATCTAGTGCAATTATTACATGAGCATCTGCATTGGAACAACATCACTTGCAGAAAGGTCTAGCCCTGAGGAATGTTGTACCTTCCGCGGCAGCCTTGCGAAATTAGATGTAAAATCCGGTGCCGTGTTATGGCAGACCTTCATGCTGCCCGATAACCATGGAGAGCTAGGATAGTATGCCGGGGCAGCTATATGGGGAAGCAGTCCGTCCATTGACGTCCATAGAAAACACGTGTATATTGCTACCGGAAATGTCTACTCAATTCTTGAACGTGTAAGCCAATGCCAAGAAAATCAGAATAATTCAACTATGCCCACTAATCTAGATGCGTGTGTTGAGCCGGAAAATCATGGCAACTCAATTCCAGCCCTTGATTTGGACAGCGGCGATATCAAGTGGTACCGTCAGCTCGGTGGCTACGATGTATGGTTTCTTGCTTGTTTCTTAAACGTTTTAACTTGCCCTACTGGACCAAACGTGGATGCTGACTTTGGAGAAGCACCAATGATGCTCAGAACTCGTGTCAATGGAACCAATAGAGATATAGTTGTTGCCGTTCAGAAAGGTGAGTTTGCTTGGGCTCTAGATCGGAATAATGGCAGCCTTTGTGGTCAACGGTAAGTTGACTTGGACTCACTCATCTGTCTCCATGCATGAAAACCACCACAACTTACATAAAAAAAGATTGTTTGGTATAAGGTATCAATTTGCAATATACCTACTTTACACGTTGTTTTTTTTTTCTTTTTTTTTTTTAGGGAACCTAGACGGTACGATGGAAATTTTATTAATAACGAAAAAATAAATTACACCTAGTCAGGAGAGACATAAACCTTACCTCTAAAAAAACAGAGACAATAAAAAGAAATACATATAAAAGAAGGGGATATAAACCTTACTCTTTTAGAAATAAAAAACGAGAATGAAATAAAGAAACAATAGATTAGTACTCGATTCAAATCAATCACTACATGAATTCCACGTACACATGTGTGTCATCTGTAAATGATATCTATGTGCTGTGTCGGAGGCTGGGCCTGGTAGCATTCAAGGAGGAGGAACTTGGGGAGCAGCTACTGACAAGAAAATGGTGTACACCAACATCGGTAACGCTGATGGTAAAAACTTTACTCTGAAACCATCAAATAACATAACAATTGGTGGCGGATGGGTAGCAATGAATCCTCACAGTGGAAAAATCATATGGTCAACTGCCAGCCCTACTGGTGCAGCTTCACCTAGCCCAGTCAGTGTCGCCAACGGCGTTCTATTTGCTGGATCTCCAAATCCACAAGGCTCTATATACGCAATGGACACAGGGAGTGGAAAAATACTGTGGTCTTATGACACCGGAGCAACCGTGTATGGTGGCATGTCAATAAGCAATGGATGCATTTACGTTGGAAGTGGGTATAAAGTTAATCTCGGATTTATAAATCCAACGTTTACTGCCGGGACCTCACTTTTCGCCTTCTGTGTCAAATGATCGAACCCTTTCATTGAAGAATGTTAATTCATAATGCATCTTTGTAGTCCATGGAATAAGAAAGCATCACTTGTATGATATTTAATGTTAACCGATGAAGGAAAATGTACCAAGTAAACTTTAATTTGAAAAGTAAGAATAACACAGATAAGACTATATAGTAAGGTTTTATATCCCACACTTAAATTTCTTTTTATTCAATCTTATACATGCATCTAAGCTATTCGAATCCTCCCGGTACTTGCATGCTATCAGTCAGGAATACTTAGGCTTAGAGGGTGGTCCCCCTTTCTTGCGTAAAAGCAATCGGAATTCGAACACGCGTTTTACTAAGAAGGATTGAACCATGAGAGCGAATCTATAGGGCTATCACCTTCTCTGGCCAGATCTTCCAACCTTTTCACAATTACAGTAAAGGCTTATTAATGAAATAAAAACAACTTCCCCCATCTAGAGAAGCACAGCTTAGTAGTGAAATAAAAACAACTTCCCCCTTCTAGAGAAGCACTTAGTAGAACATATGAAGGTTTCTGTGCTGATATTGTATTGGGGTTCTTAGATTTGAGTCCAAAAAATGCACATTTCTTGTTTTTTGGAGGGCAAAGACTTCCCGCTTAAGCCAGTAACAATAAATATTAATCTAATAATTCTGTTCACGTTTTACTTTTTCAACATACCAGAATAGTACCACACAGACTGATTCAACTTAATTTTTAATCATGATGCCGACCAATACGTGCACAGTTTTGCTGTATAATCGTCCAAATCAAGGGATATAGTTACGGTTAAATACATCAACCAATAAAAAAAATGATATATATTGAAGACCAAACACCATCCACATCTCTTACTAATTTATATTGGAAGTCTCGGAATATATCTAATTAGCAAGGCAGAAAGTCTTATATCATATTAACTAGATAAGCCAAATTTCTTGCCTAATTAGTTTGTTTTGGAATATATTATATATCGTAGGAAGTGGAGAAGGTGCGGCACATGGAGAGAAAGATATAAAAAAAAAAAAAAAAAGGCAGAGAAATTTTTGTGATAATATTCCTCGTGCCTTTATTTATATATGTTGTAGGGCTATTTTAGTGAGGGAAGATGAGAGAGAGAGAGAGAGAGAGGGTTGAGAAGGGTTGAGAAATCTATGTCATAATATTCCTCATGCCTTGTGTCTTCATTTATACTAGTAAGAAAAAGAAAAATTTTCTCTCCAAGTACTACAAATAGTAATAGGAGACTTCTAGATGTTATAGAATTCCTAATCTACTTAGAATTTACATAATTACATTCCTAATAAATATAAACTGAAACAATATAGATATACATATATACATGATGAATCTAGTCACTTAGTTCGACTTGATAAACGGGACGTGTGTTAACCCATTATCTCAATAAGTCGTGTCATATCATCCTGTAAGTTAATGGGTTATAAAATTCAAACACAAACCTGACTCAGTTTTTTTTATTTAGGGAAACCTAACGGTACGAGCGAAATTTTATTGAATCAGAGAGAAGTTACACTTAGTCGGAGAATATAAACCTTACCCCTCATAATACAAGAAGAAATAATAAAGTGCAAAATAAAAAACTATTGTGTCACTTGTTAAGAACTCAACTATTGTGCCACTTGTTAAGAACCCGACTATTGTATCACCTGTTAAGAAACATTTTTCTTAGCGAAAACGGAACTTGAAACTTCATTTTAAAGGGGCAACGCCTAACATTAATCAACAAAAGACTAACAGATCTAGCTATAATCTTATAATCATTCACTATAAAAACATTTGTCTTCTCGAGATGTAAAAGTCAATGTTGGAGATTGTCTGAATGAACTTGATAGGAAGAAATTTTTCATTGTGATCGGAATACGAGTGGTACATCACATATTTTTATAGAAGTGGTGAGAAATTTTATTTTTTAAGTTATTAAATTTTTAACACACATATCTCACCATTTGTACGATGATACATGATGTACCATCCTATGTACCGGTCACATTGAAAAATCCCTCCTCAATAGGGGGCGGCATTTAAGATTATTAAAAGAACCGTGCTCTTAATGGGTTGAAAATGAATACCCATGGATATGTATCACTGAACTGCCAAGAATCTCACAGATCTCAGCTATTTCTAGTTCCAAAAATAAAATAATAAAAACAAATAAACAAAAACGGTTTCAACTTTCACACCGTGTGGGAAATATATATAATCTCATTCAAGCAACAGTTTTATATTTGGATTACGTAACATAAGACTAAGAGATCATTAAAGTATGAATGTGAATCTATGAATGGTATTCAAGCCCTTGGATCTTATAAGAACATATATATGTAGTTTAGGTAATACCAAAATCTGATCACACATATACCTATCTATATAGTTCGCATATGGCACCTTTAAGATCGATATGCCACAATCTAATTTTAGTCTTTTCTCTATACACATGTAGTCTACTAATTACTAGCACAGCCAGTGCAGGAGGCCATTCACATGATGAGAACCCAGCAGTACAAAACTGGTTAAACCACGGCGGAGATTTGTCAAACAGAAGATACGCCAACAGAGAGACCAAGATTAACCGTAGAACGGTTTCCAAACTGAGCTTGAATTGGGAGTTCTATGCCGGCGACGATATATCTGCAACGCCATCAATTTACGACGGCACCCTTTATTTTCCGAGCTGGAATGGGGAAATCTATGCTGTTCAAGCTTCCAATGGGTCTCTGGTTTGGAAGAAGAACTTGCATGAACTGACTGGGCTTAATGCAACCGGTTTTGCTGGTGTCAACTGGACCATAGCAAGATCAACCCCAACAGTCGTTGATGATCAAGACCTTCTTATTGTTGGAATCTATGGACCTGCTGTTGTTATTGCACTTGAACGATCAACGGGGAATCTCATATGGTCAACCCTACTTGATACTCATGCCGCAGGTGTTATCACCATGTCCGGAACCTACTACAATGGGTTAGTCCTTAGTTTCCATTAATTTCACCAGGTTTTTTTTTTTAAATTTTATTATTTCACTATATAAGAGGAATTATTACTAACTGTTCTGAGGTAGAAACCCTAAAAAGATCTCCGAATATCAAGCTTGTCAGCCACAAATGAAAGTTTATGTACATATTTTGAATTTTTATGAAATTTTGCAAGATATAATTGACTTTCTTCTATTTATTTGTGCCAATCAATCTAAACTCTACCGGATTTAGTCTGACTAATTTTGAGGTACAAGTTGGATAAAATTTATAAGAAAAATGTCTAGTAGATGTCGAGTTTTTAGATCATTTAGTATTAAGATAAAGTGATATTTGTTTTCACTTAAGTGAAAAGTCTTAAATTCGACTCTACTTCACGTTTATATTTAAATAAAAAATCAATTCTCACGTATATATATGTTCTTAATTAACTTCATTATAATTACAGGAGTATATACATTGGAACGTCATCACTAGAAGAAACCCTGAGCCCTGAGGAATGTTGTACCTTCCGTGGCAGCCTTGCCAAGTTGGATGCCAAAGCCGGCACCGTATTATGGAAGACCTTCATGCTGCCTGATAATCATGGACAGCTAGGGAGTTATTCCGGTGCAGCTATCTGGGGCAGCAGTCCATCCATCGACGTCCATAGAAAACATGTTTATATTGCCACTGGCAATGTGTACTCAGTCCCAGAAAATGTAAGTCAATGCCAAGAAAATCAGAACAATTCAACTCTACCCACTCATTCAGATGCATGTGTTGAGCCTGATAACCGCGGCAACTCAATCCTAGCCCTTGATCTGGACAGCGGCGATATCAAGTGGAACCACCATTTGGGCGGCTACGATGTTTGGTTTCTTGAGTGTTTCCTTAATACTTCAACCTGCCCAACCGGACCAAACGTGGATGCTGACTTTGGGGAGGCACCGATGATGCTCAAGACCTGTGTCAATGGAACCAAGCGAGATTTAGTTGTTGCTGTCCAAAAAAGTGGCTTTGCTTGGGCTCTAGATCGGAATAATGGCACCCTTATTTGGTCAACGGTAAATTTTGACTTTGGACACACTGATCATTTTATCTTTCGCTTTTAATTGTTGTTTATTCTGCAAGGCATGAGCTTGAATTTTATTATTGACCACCTTTCTAATAAGGATATGCACATACACATATTTTGTGTAGTTGATGTTCAATTCTATTAGCAAATGATCGACAAAATAATCAATAAATACGGTACAAATTAATAATTTTATTGTTTTTCGATCTAATGTTGATATCTGCTCGATATCTTCTTTCTTAAAGGGATTGCACTTGTATATAATGCGGTTAATAACGGCATGGTTTACTGAATGGTACATACCTGTATGATAATATGTAGGAAGCCGGACCTGGTGGCGTTGCTGGAGGAGGAACATGGGGAGCAGCTACAGACAAGAAAAAGGTGTACACCAACATTGCTAACTCTGAGTCCAGAAACTTTACTCTAAAACCATCTAGTACCATAACAACTTGGGGTGGATGGGTTGCAATGGCTCCTGAAAATGGCAAAATCTTATGGTCAACTGCCAATCCCAGCAATTCAACTTCTTCTGGTCCAGTTAGTGTCGCTAATGGTATTTTATTTGCTGGATCTACAAATCCGCGTGGCTCCATCTACGCAATGAACACTGAAAACGGAAAAATTTTGTGGTCCTATGACACTGGAGCATCCGTGTTCGGTGGCATGTCAATTAGTGATGGCTGCATTTACGTTGGCAGTGGATATAAACGTCAGTATACCGCCGGAACTTCACTCTTCGCCTTCTGTGTCACATGAAATAATGTAGTTTTGATTGAATAATGCTATAAATGTAATGGCTTTTCTATTGAATAAATATTAAATAAGTCTTCGTCGTGGGATGTTTTTCACCCCAATATTAATAAAAGAGGTCTCAATTTATGTCTGTACAAGACGTTGTAAGGTGCGAATCATGTTTGCGTCACTTATAACCCCGTGGAAATGTAGTGTCTATATAGATGTACAACAGAATCAACTTTTAAGTATATTATCTACGTAGTTGGATAGAAATACTTTGTAGTACAATCATTAGAGAAACTTTTATAATAAACTGCGTCGTGTATCATTTTACGTGTTATAATAAGAATGGACAACATAGTTAATAGTAAAATGCAAGGAAGATCAAATTTTTTGATCAAATTTTGTAGACCACATAATGACGTTTGATGTAGGGATGACAACGGATTGGTTTGGGGACGGAAATGTTATATCCATTCTCATAACCACGAAAATTAACCATATCCATAACCGCAAATTAACCATCGGGTATTATCCATAACCATACCCACTGGATAACGGATTCCCCATCGGTTAATGGTTACATCCATCTCCGTTAATATAAAAAATATATTTGCCCAATTAACGCATGATAATTTAGTAAATATTAATTTCGTCATTAAATATTTGATGTATAAAATGATTTAATTAATGGATCTTGTGGAACATGAAAATTAAAGCTAAACATTAATAATGTTGGTTGATCTTTGATATCTCTCATAAATATCATTAAGTTCTCATAGATTTTGATTCATATCAAAACTTTTGAATTTTGCCACAAAATGCAAATCACACAATGCAATTTTTGTATTCTCAAGGTAATGAATTTAGTGAATAATGAATATACATGTGTGTGTGTGTGTATATATATACACACACACATATATTATATAATACTTTAATATCATATATAATTATATTATATATTATTTGGTTCAGATTCGGGTACGGATATGGATTGGGAACCCCTATGATCATATCCAAAACCATAACCGAATAATATTCAAGGTTTTTTCCCATACCCAAAATATATCGGAATTTTTATACCCAAATCTAATCCATTCGGGCGGTTATCCACAATTATAGGGTTTAACGGTTATAATTGTCATCCCTAGTTTGATGGTTGAACTTTTTATTTTTATTTTTAAGGGAGCTTTAATGAAAAGAGCTTGGACTAAGTTTATTTTAAACAAAGATCATGCTATACCTTTATTTAATGGAAAATGCTTAAATTTTAATGAAAATGACAAAAGCTTAATATAATAAAAATAAAAAGTGATTAAAAACTGACACGCAGGACTGCGCATAAGTCACACACACTGTTTTTGAAATTGAACGATACTACATTATTTTTGAAACCGACAGTACTACACTATTTCCGAAACTAAAAGGTACTACACTATTTTTTAAACTGAAAACTATTTTTGAAACTTAACACGAATACTACATTATTTCTGAAATTGAACAGGTACTACAATATTTCTACACTATTTCTGAAACTAAACAAGGTTGGCATGCACTGGTTATTTATTAAGCTGAATATTGTATCTTTCCAAGAAGTCTAACGATCATTCTTCTCTCTCATTTTCTTGAATTTTCTCGGCACTTTTTCACCTTCCAAACACATTTTCTTCTTCTAATTTTCTTTGATTCTCATCAATTTTTTTATGAATCTCTTCAATTTCTTAACTTTCTACACCAATTATTTAATTTTCTTCCATTATCTGCACATCTACGGCTTCCTCTTCTCCTTACCTACAATCTCACCTTCTCCATATGCAAAATCGAAATATAATGCAAATTAAATCAATAAAATTGAATACAAAAATATCCATCAGAAGTCCAAAAGCCTTCCCGGTTGGTTTGTGGTATTGTTATTAATGAAGAGAACAACAAGTCCTCTCAACCTGCAAACAAATCCGAGAAGGCAAATATCCAATTTCCAAAATGAAGATGCCAACAAGAACAAAACTAAGCAGCAGCGTGGAAGAAGTCTTCCTGGCCTGAAGTTCCTTGCACGCGCGGTTTGTTTTGTTTATTTATTTTTTCTTTGTCTTATCATTATCTATATATATAAAGGGAGAATACCGGTTTGATGAAGCATTCAGAAATGTCAAGAAAGCCTTTTTGTTTTCTTCACAATTGAAATCCAAAAAAACGAAAAAATGAGGACAAACTAGTAAAAATAAATAAATGAATAAAAAAATTGTATTGAAAAATAAAAAAATAAAAACATTTACATAGTGAGAGAAACAAATAACAAAACGAAAAAGAAAAAAAAAGGAGTGCAAACGGAAAAGTTGGAAAAGAAAACTAAAATTAAAAAAATGTTTTAAAGTTAAAAAGGAAAAAAAAAAAAAAAGAACGTGTGCGTGATGAACCCTCAAACATGATGGAGAAAACGGCTCCAACCTGTTAGCAGTTTTCTCTGAATAATTCCCACAATCTGATGTGTGATTTAGTGGGTAGTTCAACAGTAACTACCCACATATTGTAAGATCTCACATCGCCCAGGGGAGTGATCCTTATATGTATATTTCCATCCCTACCTAGTATAAGGCCTTTTGGGAGCTCACTGGCTTCGAAGTTCATCGGAACTCCGAAATTAAGTGAGTAGTGCGCAAGAGTACTCCCATTATGGGTGACCCACTAGGAAGTTCTCGTGTGAGTTCCCAGAAGAAAAAAAAAACTGTGAGGGCATAGTCGGGCCCAAAGTGGACAATATCATGCTACGGTAGTGGAGCGGGCCCGGGATGTGAAGAACCTCGGGCCGGGATGTCACAATTTGGTATCAGAGCATTGTAAGATCCCACATCGCCCAAGGAAGTGATCCTTATACGTATATTCACATCTCTACCTAGTACGAGGCCTTTTGGGAGCTCAATGGCTTCAGAGTTCATCGGAACTTCGAAGTTAAGCGAGTAGCGCGTGAGAGCACTCCCATAATGGGTGACTGACTGGGAAGTTCTCGTGTGAGTTCCCAAAAATAAAACCGTGAGGGCGTAGTCGGGGCCCAAAGTAGACAATATCATGCTACGATGGTGGAGCGGGCCCAGGATATGGTGGACCCCAAGTCGGGATGTGACAATTTGGTATCAGAGCTTAACCATGGTCCTGGTGTGCTGACGAGGACGTTGGGCCCCTAAGGAGGGTGAATTGTAAGATCCCACATCGTGCAGGGGAATGATCCTTATATGTATATTCTCATCCCTACCTAGCACGAGGCATTTTAGGAGCTCACTGGTTTCAGAGTTTATCGAAACTCCGAAGTTAAGCGAGTAACGAGTGAGAGCACTCCCATGATGGGTGACCGACTGGGAAGTTCTCATGTGAGTTCCTAGAAACAAAACCGTGAGGGCGTAGTCGGGACCCAAAACGAACAATATCGTGCTACAGTGGTGGAGCGGGCTCAGGATGTGGTGGACCCTGGGCCGAGATGTGACAATTTGGTATCAGAGCCTAACCCTGGCCGTGGTGTGTCGATGAGGACGTCGGGCCCCTAAAGAAGGTGGATTGTAAGATCCCACATCACCTAGGGGAGTGATCCTATATATGTATATTCTCATCCCTACCTAGCACGAGGCATTTTGGGAGCTCATTGGCTTCGGAGTTCATCAGAACTCCAAAGTTAAGCGAGTAGCGCGCGAGAGCACTCCCATAATGGGTGACCCGTTGGGAAGTTCTTGTGTGAGTTCCCAGAAACAAAACTATGAAGGTGTAGTTGGGGCCCAAAGCAAACAATATTGTACTATGGTGGTGGAGCGGGCCCGGGATGTGGTGGACCTCGGGCCGGGATGTGACATATATCATCAGTATACAGTTGGATGATCGAAAAGGAATCAATTTTTGTCTTCTTTGAGTTCAGTTTGTGGTTTCAATTTATTCCAAATAAAGACTTCAACAAAATCAACCATAAAGATTGGTGATTGATATTTCGAAAAAGATTTTTCCCCGAAAATCAAATAATCCATCGGATTAGTAATTCATATTTTCAATTTCCGTTCTCTTCCCATTTATACATCATTTTCAATTGTGTATAAATTATTTGCTTTAATAACACATAATTAAATTTGCGTTCATATTCAATTGTGTTTTTTAATACATGACTTTTTAACAACAGTGCCTAATACCTTGAATAATATCACAAATTTCCCCTTTTTGGTTGTTGGTGTTCTGGGTTTTGTGCTCTGTGTGCAAGGTGTCTTTTCAACATGTATAACACTTTCTGGATTATTCATCGTAATTTTGTTTGTTGCATTGCGTCAATGGAGTTTTGATTTATAGTCATTTTAATTCTCTAACTTGAATAATATTATTTTGTTGTAAATAATGTTTTCATACGGTGTGTAGTTGAGTATTTATTTGATGGTTTGTTAACCCACATCAAATCCCAGAGAGCAAAGCGTAGAAGGGGACAGAGCCCCTTTTAAAACCCGTCATTTTAAACAAGGTTTGGTATATACATATATATTTCACTTTTTTTTATCCCTCCTTATTTATCTACCTGTACCCTTAATATCTATGCAGATTATCCTCTAATTGGTAAACATAAGTTAATTATTATTCTTTAATTTATCATTTCACATCTACTAATTTTACCAGTTTAATGCTTGATTTCTTTTTGTCAATTTAATAGCGTTCTCAAAGATTACACAATTGATTTCATTGCTTATTGAAAAATTTGTTGGAGACAGATTTTGATTTTCCTTTGATTATCTCAAGTAATAATGCAAATTCTGACCGGAACAAACATGGGTTTCTTTTTTCTTGTAAGATTATGATTTCGGGTTAAGAAGACAAGACCAAAGATATTATGTGATTATTTGAAATAGAATGGTTTTTGCAGGAAGTCTGGATGTCTATTGTGGCTACAGGAATCAAAAGTGAGTGAAAAGTAAAAGCTTTTCTCTCCCAAGCATTCATCACCAGCAATTATAGCTAGAGCCATGTATATGGTTTAGGGTATATCTTTCCTCTTGCTTTCTTTCTACAATTTTTCTGTCCAAATTTCTCTGAGAAAGTTAGGGTTTTGGTTTCCATTCATGGATTGGATTTGTAGATATTCCTATGGATCTCACTTTTCTTTTATTTAATAGCATAATCTTGCTCTTGGTATTTTAACTTTGCTTTCTTTGCATCAAGATTGTATCTTTCTTGGTTTTCTATATAACCCATGTATTTCGTATATATTTACTTTTAGAATTCTTTGGTGTTGCTATTTTTATGTTTGGTGTCAAAAGTTTAGGTTTCATCTTCTAGAAACTTGCATTACTGGGTTATACTTGCGTTACTGGGTTATAATTGGTGTCAGAAGTTTAGGTTTCATCAGACCAATTACCATATGTTACATTGTCCAGTTCAAGCCTTTCTTTGAAAATATTTTAGGGTTCTTTGTTAAACAATGGCAATGTGAAACTAGGAAGCGCATTTTTGTTGCTTAGTTGTAAGATACTTGAGAAGTCCAATATTACACTTAATCAAAGAACCGAAAAGGATGTGGAGGTTTTGATTTCTTGGAGAAAAAAGAGGACTATACTTGGGAAGATGCTGAAAGCTTAGTAAAGAGACCTTCGGAAATTTATGCATGATAGTCGACTCTAAATCAAACTGTAAGGGAAACTCGACTTTGTCCAGTTAATGGTTGGTTGGCATAGTTTTCTTATGAGATTTTTGGGGTGGTCTTTGAAGAGTTGATGCGATGTGAGGTGAATATTCGATTGAAATTTTCAACATTAGCCACTCTTTCCTAAACCAATCAGTTATCAATTTGGACTTCCTTATTAGTTATCAATTTGGACTTCCTTTGAAATTTAGTTTTTGTGTGTAATCCGTGAAAGATTGTAAACTACAGTTCAGATATGCATGCCTACATTCATTTGACTTCATTTCACTTTTGGTGTTGAATTTATATGCTTTTATAACTAAATTTTACTCTGTCCTAAATATCTATAGCTTCATTAATTTCAAATAATAAGGATGGAATGCAGGGAGTCGATGTGAGGCAGAGTGCTGGTTTGGTTTCCGCAACAATTTGAAATTCTACAATGGCTATATATTGTAGCTTATCATGTTCCAAAGAACCTGAATGGCAGGTTAAAATATATTGTAGCTTATCAACACATTTATATGTGACTTAATTATATTTTATTTCTTTTTATTTGCAACTATATGTTGAATTTTATTTTTATGACATGGTAAATAAAACATCTAACACAATACATCTTAAGGGGCGTGAGCGCCCTTGATTAAAAAAATTGTCTCTCCTTGAATATGCTTCTACGCGTACAAGAAGCCTTTCTTTTATCACACATTTTACATGCGACTTAATTATATTCCATTTCCTTTTATTTGTAATTGTATGTTGTATTTTATTTTTAGTACGCGGTATGAGAAAGAAATCAACTAACATAATATATCATATTAAGGGGTGTGTAGTGCTCGTGATTAAAAAATACCTCTCACATGCACGTGAGCGCGTGCAAAGAGGCTAGTCATTAAATAAAGTTAGAGTGTTACTAATCTCACTCCATTGTCCTATTTTCTCACACACCTTATAATTTTACCCACCATAAAAAGTTAAAAATGAAAAACTCTATTTCCCACCCACCCTTGTTCCTAATATAACCTTTTATATATATCTAAATTCTTTTAAATTTTATAAATTATAATATATAGGATATATATGTGTTTGTATATCTGTTTAACAAAAAAAAATGATAAAAAAATCCGTTAACCATCCCAATTCCAAAATCATTGAAGCAACAGACCTCCAAAACCCATATGCACCATGATCCCCAATACGGCAGCCACAACAACACCCAACCAGGCTCCACCCCATCCAATCTTCGCAGCACCACCATAGCCTCAAAACTGCCCACCTCCATGGGTTTACCCATCTTCCTTCGCTGCACACAATCTCTTTCACTGCCGAAAGTGGATCAAGATTGTACACTGTCATGAGAGAAAGGGAAAATGGAGGAGTTGAAGAGAAGGTAGCCGTCATCAATGCCACCGTGAGAGAGGCGTGTGATTGTGCACTTCTCGTGGTTATAATAGCGAGAATGGGGTGGGGGGTTTTTTTATTTTTTTTTCTTTTTCTTTTTCTACTATTTTTGTTTTTAATGAAAAAAATCTAATGCTTACGCGACAAAATACATTGGTTATTGTTTAGGTCCTTACGGTCATTCTCTAAAAGGACATAATTGTCAATGAAATTTTCACATTTAAGTGGGGTGGGGAAATAAGAAAAGGGGGTGGGTTTAACACTCTTCCAAAGTTATTAGATGATTTTTAATTAAAATTCAAGGTTTTGAAAATCTTTTTCATTAATTTTTTTTAATGATTTTATGGAGTCCAACCATCAATTGTCACGTAATGATGTTTATAAAATAATAAAAATGATTTGAAAAATTAATCTATCTTAATGTAAATAATATCGATTATTAAAAAATATATATATCTGACTTTTAGAATATATTTATAAAAAAAAAAACCTTTATATATTATAATTTGAATGAGACGATACCGCCACATGATACCCCGAGAATTAAATTGCTCATTTTGTTCAAGTCTACATGATGATTCCCTAATAACGTATATTATTGAGAGAGCAAAAACGACATGAGGACGTAAAAAGTTACGTACATTTTAGGGAAAACAGACAGAATCAACATATTCCAAATTGTATAATATAGCAGTTTTATTGACCCAATAAACCAATAAATATGTTAAATATCTTTGAATTCTTCCAAAAATGAGTTCAAGTCTGCTAAAAATTAAGTAACAAAGAGCTGATATACAATCATGCATGACGACTACTGCGTTCATAATAATCCACAAACAATTAATTATTAATATATATATATATATATATATGAAAGGAATAAACACTATGTGATGAATTTCGTAGATGGATGTAACAGGTAATATAAAGTCTAATTTTATCAACATCACCATCCGCATCGCCTTCAACTATATATTTCCTCTGTCATCAAATCCATAGTCATTTTGTTAGTTAAAGCAAAATTTGTAAGGCGTATTATATAATCTACGATAATAGTACTCTCTATTTTTCAAGCTTGTTCTATGTATATAACTAATAACTACTGTCCTTCCTTTTCTGGGATATATAGTTTCTCTCCGGATATTGTAACACTGTGGGATTAAAAAATGTGGAGCGTTTGATAATAAAAATAATTAAAAATATAGAGAGTAGCTCAACCTTTTGTAGACGCTATTCTCATACTGTTCTTGATGTGTGACGACACTTAAACCAAACACGTAGACACCACATACTAGATAACATGAAACACATGTAACTGTTTGACTTTTACACGTGAGCCAACTTGTTTTGATACGATGAAATAAGTTGAGGTTTCACTATATATGAAACCAATTGACAATAGTGCAACTCTTTTCTTTTTTTTTTTTTTTTTTTATAGGAAAAAAAATCAAATTACAAAGCGAAGGCCCTAGGGCAGCTAAAATTACAAAAAACACAAAACCTAGCATATTTCGCCTCTGAAGGAAGAGTCTGCCACCAAATCACATTGGAAGAGGAAGACCAACCCACACAAGCAAGAACATCCGCCAAAAAAATTGATTCACATTAAATGATTGTTGAATATAGATTTGTCATCCCTCGTTCAAGTTGAGGGGCGCACTTCCGAGAGTCGGCCCGTTCGAGGTCGAACACCCTGAATATACCCTCTCATTTGAGGTTGATGACCCCGAACGTACTTCCAGCCGGCGTAGCTCACTTCCAAGTCGGCCTATTCGAGGTCAAACACCCCGAATGCACTTTCAGCCAAGTCGGAGGAGCTCACTCTCAGCCGAGGTCGGACGAGCGCAAGTCGCGGTCGCGGCAATCAACGCAAAATTAGTGCACATGATAAAGACACCAAGCGAAAATTGAGTTTCAAATTTCAAATTTTCAGCATCAAATATGAGATCAGATAAAAGTCAAACGTGAATTAAATTGGTGACAATCAAGTGACGGACGTGACTCATTGATCATGAATAGCTTCGACCACTGTATATATGACATTCTAGGTCATTGTTAGATGTCCCAGACGAACACATTCAACTTATCGTTTCTGCTCTTAGTACTATAGTCTAGTAGTATTCCTCTTCATTTGTTAGTGAGAGGTCTTACGTTCGATTCTCGCCAAATAAAATTTGAATCACATTATTGTTAGTCTAAGCTCATCCCTTTCTTCTGTAGGGAATAAAGCTGAAAGGTATTGCGTACACATCTGTGCCTTTTTGAGAAATCTTTTCGTATCTCCACACATCATACGTGTATATTAGGGTACGTGACTCATAATTAGATATCGTAATCTATAGCCTTTGCGTCTGAAAGAGCATATATATAGTACTATGGCTATCTAGCTTAGTTATCTCATATACAGTACTGATACATACCAGATACATACATGGCAGCTTTTAAATCCCACAACCATCTTTCAGCCCTTTCTCTCTTCACCATTTGTCTACTTACCACCACAGCCAGTGCAAATCCACTTGTGCAGGCCACACAAAATTGGTTAAACCACGGCGGAGATCTGTACAATAGAAGACATGCGAACAAGGAGACCAAGATCAGCCCTAAAACAGTTTCCAACCTAAGCTTGAAGTGGGAGTTCTATGCCGGCAGAGACATAACTGCAACACCGGCAATTTGCGATGGTACTCTTTATTTTCCGTGCTGGAACGGATTCATCTATGCCATTAAAGCTTCTGATGGGTCTCTTGTTTGGGAAAAGAATTTGGAAACGTTAACTGGGGTTAACACCACTGGTTGGGTTACTAATGTCAATACAACAGTCTCAAGATCAACTCCAAAAATTGCTGGTAATCTGTTAATTGTCGGAATCTATGGACCGGCTCTTGTTATCGCTGTGGAACGGTGGACCGGTAAGCTCGTATGGTCGACGTTGCTTGATCGCCATTCTGCAAGTGTCATAACCATGTCCGGAACATGCTACAACGGGTGAGTCATATATATATCATTAATTCATCGGTGTTTTTAACTAACACACTATTAGGCCATTAGAATTATCATTAGTTGTGTGTATGTGTGTGTATATATATGTTTTTAGGTGAATTAACTTATCAAAAACATAAGTTGACATGTTAAGCTCATGAATCACAAAGTATATAAGTATCAAAACTACAATTTGATAAACACAAGAATCAAACTGACCTGGAGAAACAGTTGAAGGAGTTATAATGCATTCTTCCATGTAGAGGTCGATGATGATGAAGCCATCAATCTTCTATAGCAATCTTTTTCCGTATAAAACCTTAATGCTCAAATCAACAATAAGCCTTTGATTCAATATAGAGCGTGTATTTTACATGAGCAGAGGCCTACTATATATACATGTTTAATCCACGTTTCTCCTATATGGGAATTCAAGTGGAACACTGACAATAAATCCTTGTCCAATGAGTGAGTGCAAAAACTAGGATGGAAGCCGTGATAGAATCCTATAACGTCTAGAATAACTCAAAACTTCTTACTATTAGACTTCTCTACACCGATTTAAATCATAATAATCGACTATAATATATATTCTCATACTCAGGTGATGTGTATCACTATGCATGAAATATTGATAAAACATTACAGCTCTACAATTCGTCAAATTCATTATTTTTAGGACCGTTATTTGTTGAAAGTTGTTCCACATTGGTAAGAGACAAGGTTTGATATGTGCTTATATGATCTTGGGCTACTCCCCATATTGCCAATTGGTTTTATGGTGGAACCTCAATTTCATCATGGTATCAGAGTGGATTGCTCTCGTGTGAGGCCAAACGGCCACATGCACTCCACGTCACCTAGTTGTTGTCCACGTGTAGGCTTGAAAATCCGCCACACGTGCGGGGGCGTGTTGAGAGTTGTCCCACATTGGTGAGGGACAAGGTTTTCTATGTGCTTATATGATCTTGGGCTACTCCCCATATTGCCAATTGATTTTATGGTGAAACCTCAATTTCATCAGTTATTGACACTAAAAAGTCATTATGCACTTTCATGTGCACAGATATGAGTTCAAATTAACCTTTTCAGAATGTAAATAACATTCTCTTTTCAATATAAGAAGGCGAAAATCTTGAACTAGTTGACTGACATCTCTCGTTTTAACGATGTCTGTTTTCTTATTAGAGTAGCCTTATATTGATGTTGAACATGATCTTGAACTAAGAACTCATTTGAAAGTCCTTTAAATAATTTATAGTGCTTTTGGTAAAAATATTTTTGACCCCAATCTTTAATAAAAATTTAAGTAGATTTTGGAAAGGTACTTTATGTGCTTCCTGGAAGAAGCACATTACCACATATCTAGTGTTTTTTCAAAAGACACTTACTTTTGAAATCCAAAATCAATTTTATTAAAGTTCTTTCAAACAGACCCTAAGTCAATGTAGAACGCAGGGTCGGTGGTTTTCTTTAAAGAAATTAGTTGGCAAAAAGCTATATTTGCTCTATTTTATTAGTAATTTATCTGGTTGTTGCTTTGCCAAAGTATAAAAATCAAGAAAGTCAAACTAATTAATAACTTGCCAAGATCTGTATCACGGTGAACCTTGTGTGTATAGATAAATCTTTGATATTTTATGTCTCATTTCGATACGTATTTTAAATTCAACGAAAATGTTTTTTTTAGCAGAACGATACCGGTTTTATTAGCATCCTAAAATATGTACACATTTTAAATAAAATATTCTAGTTAAATTCGAAGACTTCTCAAATAAAAATAACTCTGAACAAAAAACAATGTCAACTTGGCCAATTTAACCCCAAACCCTAAACCCTATCTTAGTGTACAAGCATAAGAACACTAATAGCACTACAAAGTCAAATGAATTTCAATTCCGGCAACTAGAAATTCAATCACTTTATAAGCTACTACATGAGAGACTTTGTACATAAAATCATCAAACAAGCAGTAAGGAAACACTCTTTGCGTACAAGCAGAGTCGACTTCAATAACTGCAAAATAATTAAATAGTGACCCTACAATAGGGATTTTGGGCACAAAACCACCAACTAAGCTACCAGTTGCATCATGATAAACCGCATCAATGCTATCATGAGACATGAACAAAAGACACAAGTCCAAAAAAAAAAAAAATATATATATATATATATATACACACACACACACATATATATGGCACGGACAAAAATAGCACTATAATATAGAAAACCCACATCACAAAAATTTAGCCCCCATCTCTTGCCAAACCCACACTACCCGAAAACCCAAAGTGAGAGGAGTTGTGGAAAAGAATTGGATTCAAAAGGGACAAAAACGTTGGAGAACTCAAATTCAAGAGGAAGACTTAGTCACCACAAAGGGGACTAGTATTCACCACAACAAATTAAAAAAATAAAAAGATGGAGAAGAGGAGAGGAGAGTGGACGGAAGGAGGAAAAGCAGGAGTGCTTCTCCTTCCTCCTACGACGACTTTTGCTATAGGTTTTATCTGGAGGCCAGAGTTTCGCAGGGAGAGTCAATGAATCCATAATTTTTGAACAAGTTTTTGTTCATCATGAATTTGAATGGTTCCTAAAACCGTGAACTATAAATTTGACAATAATCTAGCTAGTACTGCAGGAAAAATGTTGTAAAATGGTACATGCAGCTAGTGATCATTTGTAATATTTATGAATTGCTTTTACTTTTTACAGGAGTTATTACGTTGGAACGTCGTCGCTAGAAGAAAGTGCCAGCGTTGGGGAATGTTGTACCTTCCGTGGCAGCTTTGTTAAATTAGATGCAAAATCCGGTGCCGTCCTATGGCAAACGTTCATGCTGCCCGATAATCATGAAACCACCGGACTATATTCCGGGGCAGCTATTTGGGGCAGTAGTCCATCCATCGATGTTCATAGGAGACATGTGTACATTGCTACTGGGAATGTGTACTCAGTCCCTGAAAATGTAAGCCAATGCCAAGAAAATCAGAACAATTCAACACTACCCACTCGCCCTGATGCGTGCGTCGAGCCCGAAAATCACAGCAACTCAATCCTAGCCCTTGATTTGGATGGTGGCGATATCAAGTGGTACCACCAGCTGGGCGGTTACGATGTATGGTTTGTTGCCTGTTTACTTGATCCTTCAACCCGCCCCACTGGACCAAATGTTGATGCTGATTTTGGAGAAGCACCAATGATGCTCAGAACTTATGTGAATGGAACCAAGCGAGATATAGTTGTTGCTGTGCAGAAAAGTGGGTTTGCATGGGCTTTGGATCGGAATAATGGCAGCCTTGTGTGGTCTACGGTATGCTAATTGGCCTTGAACTCTGTTTTTATTTTATAACAGCTTCATTCCAATGGAGGAACTAGCATACATATATATCCTTAATGATAATACTTACTAGGGCAAAAATTCTAGACCATAAACCCTTATATGGTGAACTTGAGACCTATACACTTGTTGAGCAAAATTCTAAAAGATTGTTTGATAACAATTTTGTCTTCTGTTTTTTCATTTTTACTTTTTCTGTTAGTGATAGCGGGAAATACAATAAGAAAAGTAGAAGATGAAGAAGATTGAGTGAATAATGGTGGAAGAGATGTGTAGAAGAAATGTAATAAAAGGCAAACACAATTAAAACAAAAACAAAAAAAAAAAACTATTTTAAGTTATTTTCACGTTTAAGATTGTGTGTTCATCTTATTTGTTCCTCTCTCTACGAAACCCCTTCTTCTTCATTCATTTTCTCCATATATTTCCCTCTCTCCACCTATGTTAGAGCTACTCTGTTTGGGTTCTACTTATACTTTAATGACAAAGCTATCTTTTATGCATTCAACAATCTGTTAATTACATGAAGTAACTAAACGGAAATTGCTATGATATTACGTAGGAAGCGGGGCCTGGTGGCATTCGCGGAGGAGGAACTTGGGGAGCAGCTACTGACAATAAAATAGTCTACACTAACATTGCAAATTCTGATGGCAAAAACTTCACCCTTAAGCCATCTAACAACATAACAACTGCGGGTGGATGGGTGGCCATAGATCCTCGCACCGGTAGAACTCTATGGTCAACTGCTGATCCTAGCAATGCAACTTCTTCTGGGCCAGTTAGTGTGGCTAATGGTGTTTTATTTGCTGGATCCACAAATCAAACAGGACCAATATACGCGATTGACACCGAAAATGGAGAAATTTTGTGGTCATATAACACCGGAGCAACCGTGTACGGTGGCTTATCAATAAGTAATGGGTGCATTTACGTTGGCAATGGATATGCAGTTAATATTGGATCCTTTTCCCCATTTAACGCTGGAACCTCACTCTATGCCTTTTGTATTACATGAACCTCTCCATTGAATAGCATTATTTAAACATAATGTAATCAAACCATAATGGTAAATGTGATCGATGTAAATGTAAAAACAAATCAGGTTTGTCTTCTATTTGGAACAAAGTATACATATTTATGTCAGACTTATGAACATTCCTACTTACTAATCATGTTGGGAAATAAGATTAAGGTTAAAGGCCATGCGTTCTGTATATACTGCTGAGGTGCCGACGTGGTCTATTCATATTAATTCTAGTTATAACCTAATTTAAGTATAATACTTGCTGAAAAAGTTAAGAAATCAGGTCCCCATATTCTGCAATAATATTTTCTGTCAATGCCCTTCTTAGCAAACTAGCTAGTTTGGAGGGTTGACTTTAATTTTTTTCTGCCTCTCAATAATATACAAAAATTTTTAATTAGTAGCTTATAAACTCTGCTACAAATTGATAAACTGATATTTTAGTAAGACAAATTATTCCTTAAGATTCTTATAGTGCGGGCTGGGCGACCATCCACAACGCAAAAAATTCGGGGGCACCAAAACTATTTTCAGGTGTTATATTCATATATAATTTCATAAGAGTATAAATTTATAAAATTTGGTTAAATGATAGAGAAGTTTAAAAGTTTAATTAGAACTAGTGGTTTATGTTGTTTAAAATTAACAGCAAGGAGGTCTCAAATTCAAATCACTATATGTTTATTTACTTTCTAATTTTTACGAATTTCTTTTTATAATGGTATCAATTTAAAAAATTTGGTGAAATGAATAAGAAGTTTAACTAAAAGTGGTGGTTCATGACGTTTAAAATTAACAAGGAGGTCTTGGGTTCAAAATTTTATTTGCGTTTTTTTATTTTCAATTTTTTAGGAATTTCTTTTCATTAGAGTATAAATTTTTAAAAGTTTTGGAATGGTCTCTATTGTTTAAAATTTTGGAATTTCTTTTCACAAGAGTATAAATTTTTAAAAGTTTTGGAATGGTTTCTGTTGTTTAAAATAAATGCTATGTGTTTTTTTTATTCTTTCTAATTTTTACCAATTTCTGTTTGGTTGTTAATTTCTTTTTAATTGCTAGCTAGTAGTTAAAACTGTGACATCCCACATCGCCCAGGGGAGTGATCCTTAAATGTATATTCCCATCCCTACCTAGCACGAGGCCTTTTGGGAGCTCACTGGCTTCGGGTTCCGTAGGAACTCCGAAGTTAAGCGAGAAGAGGGCTAGAGCACTCCCAGGATGGGTGACCCTCTGGGAAGTTGCTCGTGAGTTCCCAAAAACAAAACCGTGAGGGAATGGTAAGCCCAAAGCGGACAATATCGTGCTACAGTGGTGGAGCGGGCCCGGGAAGTGGTGCAACCCGGGCCGGGATGTGACAGATTGGTATCAGAGCCTATCCCTGGCCGGAAATGTGCCGACGAGGACGTCGGGCCCCTAAGGGGGGTGGATTGTGACATCCCACATCGCCCAGGGGAGTGATCCTTAAATGTATATTCCCATCCCTACCTAGCACGAGGCCTTTTGGGAGCTCACTGGCTTCGGGTTCCGTAGGAACTCCGAAGTTAAGCGAGAAGAGGGCTAGAGCACTCCCAGGATGGGTGACCCTCTGGGAAGTTGCTCGTGAGTTCCCAAAAACAAAACCGTGAGGGAATGGTAAGCCCAAAGCGGACAATATCGTGCTACAGTGGTGGAGCGGGCCCGGGAAGTGGTGCAACCCGGGCCGGGATGTGACAAAAACTGCTTATGAACTATAAACGCACTAGGATTAGAAAAATAACTTGACTTTTTACTTTTTTGGTGTGTTTCTAACAAAAGCGTCTCCAATAAAAATACGTATGAGCATAAGCGTTCCTACTGAAGTCATGGATTTCCTTTTCTATTTCAAATTCTCCCTCATACTCATTATAATATTAATAACTTATGAGTCAGTCAATGGTGTTACTTGAAAATAAGAAGCCAGGAACAAGATACGCAACGCCATGTGATTCTGGGCTATTTGTGTTCTGCAATACCTACTTGGTACTTTAAGTAATATGTCAATTTCTAATAATCCAAGTCTTTATCTATTCACACTAGTTTCTGCATATGTTAATAAACAATACAAATATGTTCTTCTGTTGGCAACTTGGCATCCGAGTTTTTTATTAGTTTCGTGACAATGTTTTAATCCTTTCAACACAACATTAATTTTTGTTTTAATCCTCATCACATGTACTTTGCTGGAAATAGTGTAATGTAATCAATAATATTTAAGTCACAAAGTGTTGTATTAATACTGTAATTTTATGGCACCAAATTTCAAATTGTAGGGGTTGCTATGTTGGAACATCATCACTAGAAGGACTCACAATTGAACTTTGCACGTTTCGTGGGAGCGTATCGAAATTAGACGTCCGAACAGGCAGAATCCTATGAGAGACCTTCATGCTGCCTGACAATTTCGGCAAGTTTAACGAGTATGCAGGAGTAGCAATATGTGGAAGCAGCCCTTCCATTGATGTCCCTTGGAACCTTGTCTTCGTCGCCACATCAAACCCGTACTCAGCTCATCCGCGGATAACTGAATGCCAGGAGAAGGAAAACAATCAGACAGTGCCTTCTCATCCGGAGGCCTATATTCAAATTTACAAAGAACTATATTCAAATTTGAGTGCAAGAGAACGAACATATTGCCCTAACTAGCATGAAAAACTATATTCCAGCTTGAGTGCAAGAGAACGAAGATATTACCTTAACTAACTGACCTAATCCACAAATAGTAATTATGTTGGTCAAATGACTCAAATTTCTTCAAATTTGAAACCAAAGACCTGTGGCTTGAAAAAACTAATTAGGGCACCCTTCAAAACTTACCAGACTGCTTAAGAAAGAGAGCAGCTTTTATCCACTTTCCTAGAGATCTTCCCTTACAATCGACCTTGGCCAAGATAAGTGATTTTTGCACTTTTATTTTCTCCTCATCTAACCCTTCTCATTATTTGTTAGCCACCGAAATTAAGAGATGCTAAAAAAACTGAGAGTGTGAAAATAACTACCGTCAAAACATAACATGTACGAAAACCAAGTGAAAAAAAATTAAGTTGGGTCTGGCTACACCAGCCCAGTCAACCCAAATGAACCTTAATCCTACCCAAAACGGCGTCGTTCTGCTATTAACACATTCGCCAACCGAAATTTCAGAATTTTACCTCCGCCGCAGAGGGCACTCGTCGTCTCTGCCCCTCCTCCATAGAGCTCCTTAAACCCCCCAAATGGGTTGTCTCAGAAGAGCTTCCAAAACCATGAAGCCCTCCAAGTACTTCTCTTTGCTGCAGAACAACTCGCTCTCTAGCATTTCCAGACGCAACCCACTTCGAAACGACTTCGATTACTGCCGTTTCGGGCTGAGCCATGCGTTTTGCTCCTACTCTCGCCAAAACAGCAAAGAGAACGCCGTAGATTTGAGCCAGTATCCGACGGAGAGGATTCGGAACTTCTCGATAATCGCGCATGTCGATCACGGCAAGTCTACTCTTGCCGACAGGCTTCTGGAGCTCACTGGGACTATCAAGAGAGGCCATGGCCAGCCTCAGTACCTCGACAAATTGCAGGTGTAATACCAATCTTTTTAGAGAGAGAGAGAGAGAGAGAGAGAGAGAATTGGGTATTCTTTGGTGTATTTTCTGCTTCTATGAACCTATGAACATGTTAGCTGTATTTGCTTGCATTTGAAGCTCTTCTCATACTTTTCATAGTTCGGGAACGAGGTGCATTTACAATTAATTTTGGTTTGTATCTCAGCTTGTCGATTTTTGTTTTGGAAAATTGTTTATATTGTTGGTTCTAGTTTATGTGCCAGTCATTTTGATTTGGGGTTTATTAGGTGGAGAGAGAAAGGGGAATTACTGTTAAAGCGCAGACAGCTACCATGTTCTACAACTACAAGCAGAGTCTTAACAGTGCGAGAGACAACAATGGTATCCAAAAAGAACAAAGCTTTTTATTGAATCTGATTGACACGCCTGGTCATGTGGATTTTAGCTATGAAGTTTCAAGATCTCTAGCTGCTTGCCAAGGTGCCCTTTTGGTTGTTGATGCTGCACAGGGTGTTCAAGCACAAACTGTTGCAAACTTCTATCTTGCCTTTGAATCCAACCTGACAATAATACCCGTTATTAACAAGATTGACCAGCCAACTGCTGATCCTGATCGTGTTAAAGCTCAACTAAAATCAATGTTTGATCTTGACGCCAGTGATGCTCTTTTAACATCAGCCAAAACAGGCCAGGGTCTTGAGCATGTCCTTCCTGCAGTCATAGAACGCATTCCACCGCCTCCTGGGAAGAGTGGTTCACCCTTACGTATGCTTTTACTGGATTCATACTACGATGAATATAAAGGAGTTATATGCCATGTTGCAGTTGTTGATGGCATGCTGCGCAAGGGGGACAAAATTTTATCTGCTGCAACTGGCCAAGGTTATGAAATTTTGGATGTCGGGTTCATGCATCCTGAGCTAACTCCTACTGGAGTTCTTCATACTGGACAAGTGGGATATGTTGTTACTGGTATGCGCTCGACCAAAGAGGCGCGAATTGGGGACACACTTTATCATAATCGAACGACTGTTGAGCCCCTTCCAGGTATATGCATCGCGTTCTTTTTCTTCACCAGTAGGTAGTTTTATTTCCCAAATCTCCTTTAACGGAAGTAATAGAAGCTCCAAAAGGAATGTCAAAACCTAGCTCACTTTTATTGTCACTGATAGTGATCAACCTGTAGGGTTCAAGGCTGCAAAACATATGGTATTCTCTGGTCTTTACCCTGCTGATGGATCTGATTTTGAAGCACTCAACCATGCGATTGAGAGACTGACCTGCAATGATGCCAGTGTAGCTGTTGTCAAGGAGAGTAGCACGGCACTAGGTATGGGTTTTAGGTATGGCATTTACTACTAATAGCTCTTCTTTTTAACTTCAAAATAAAGGATTTGGCTTCTACCACAGGTCCATGCTTTATATTCAATAAGCTTCATATGAAGTGGACATGTTGTGCTTACTGTGTCCAACTACAGGTGTGGTTTCTTAGGATTACTCCACATGGATGTTTTTCACCAACGGCTTGAACAGGTAATGGTTGTAGTTTCTGGGATATGTTAAAAGAATTTTTTCTTAATCGAGGTATTAGTTTCTGTGCGAGAACAAAAGAAATGTTTTCTTCCCTTTATTTGTGAGAAAAAAGAAAACTTTAAGATACTTTTCTTAATCAGAATGGGAAAATATATTTTTTATCAGAAAAATTTTGTTTAGAAAAAAGGAATCATCATTAAGAACTTTGTGATTTGCTTGTTTCACAATTTTCTTGTAGTGATTGACAAAATAAGAATTCATGTCTCTTTTATGGATAATAGGAGCATGGAGCTCATGTTATTTCTACCATTCCAACTGTTCCTTACATTTTTGAGTATTCTGATGGAAGGTATGTATTTAGTGTTATTCTTGTAAGATTGTCTTCTTGTATGGTTTTTAAATAGTGTTGATTCTGGTCTAGCAAACTTGAAGTTCAGAATCCTGCCACATTGCCCTCGAACCCCAAGCAACGAGTAACAGCTTGTTGGGAACCCACAGTTCTAGCTACCATCATTATTCCTAGTGAGTAAGCTCTTGGGCACCCTTAGCATGTTTTTTCCCCCTCTCAGCACTGAGGCATTTATTCATCCATACTCCAGAAGTAATTTGTTCTTCAATTGAAGGTATGTGGGGCCTGTCATCACCCTTTGCTCTGAGCGGAGAGGGGAGCAGTTGGAGTATTCATTCATAGACAGGTAATTCTTCAATAATCATTGGCCCTTTGTTTTGGATGGGTTTCACCTTCATCACGTTTACTTTGCCACTCATATTTTGTTAAAGTGGATTAGTGTTTCCCAAATGATATTGTGAATTCATCTCTAATTGAGATGCTGATTCTGTGTAGTTTGATGCATGCAGTCTACGAGTCTTTATGAAATATCGCTTGCCTCTGAGGGAAATTGTTGTCGACTTTTACAATGAATTGAAGAGTATTACATCAGGATATGCATCATTTGATTACGAGGATGCAGAGTAAGTTTCAGCCCACGCCTCTCTTTCTCTATTTGGTTGATCCTCCTAGTGTAAAAGCTTGGTAGGATCAAGTCCTGCTCTTGATGATTTAAATTCAAGAAGAAACCACAATGGTATTGCATTATATTGTTGTAATTTATTTTATGCCTTATGCTTGACTGCCTTTGTTTAATTCATGACTCATTAGGTGTAATAGACAAGTGACGACTGTTGTTTTTTATTTGTGATGTCCTGATGCAAATTTTTCGTTGAATGTAATATAGATACCAACAATCTGATATGGTCAAACTTGATATCCTTTTGAATGGACAACCGGTTGATGCAATGGCAACAATAGTTCATAACTTGAAGGCGCAACGCGTTGGTCGAGAACTGGTGGAGAAGTTGAAGAAACACATAGACAGGTCTGTTTATCTATAGGCTATACTAAATGGTAAATTCTGAATATTTTTTTTTCGATTCTTTCTTAAGCAACTCAAAGTTTTGATTTGGAGCAGACAAATGTTTGAGATAATAGTACAAGCTGCAATTGGCTCAAAGATTATTGCAAGAGAGACGTAAGTACTTGTTAAATTTTTGTTTGTCATGTTATAGCTTTTGAAACATTTACCGTTCACCTAAACTTCTATGTGTGTCTTTAGGATATCTGCCATGAGGAAAAATGTTCTGGCCAAGTGTTATGGTGGAGATGTCACTCGAAAGAAGAAGCTGTTAGAAAAGCAAAAGGAAGGAAAGAAACGAATGAAGCGTGTCGGTTCTGTTGATATACCTCAGGAGGCATTTCATGATCTACTAAAGAGTTCATAGAAAGAAATCCAAAATAATAGCATATGTCTGTGACCGCCAAATTGGTAATTACCGTTTCTCCTTTCATGCTCCACAAGCATTATAAGATTTTGGTGTTTTATGTGACTAACATACTGTAGCAGCGGCACTTCAGCAGCTCAGCAGCTAATCCACTCCTTGTTTTATGGTCGTCAGATGAAAGATTGTTTTGCTAATCTCCACGGTGAGGAAATAACTAGGGAACAGGGCCGTCTCATGATTTATGAAAGGTCAATGTGGAGGAAATATCACTTGTGCGGTCGTCAATGATAGCTTTGTCGTCGTTACGGTTCACGCAGAACCGAATTGTAATACGTTAATGTTATAGGTGCTGATAAAATAACAACACTTTGTGGTTTTTTGCTGGGAATGGAAATTTCTGAATTTTCGAAGTTCAGTTCTGATCTTGCGATGTATACATAATATGCCTTTTACTCCAGAGATTGTGAGCCGTTGTTTGCGCTCTGTAATCCTACGCCTGTAGGAATATTATATGCAGACTTTTGTTTTGCTGCAGTCAAATATTCATTACAATAACTGCGGATAATGTCTTTGCGAGGCATATTGTGTTGCTAGACTGTCAATCTGAACTACGCCATTGAACAAGAGTTTACTTGATCAATGATCAAGATTGATAGTTTGGCAACACAACATCTGCGACTTTCCGGCTGAAAAAGAGAATTTCGAGTGGTTCATATCGTAATTTACAAATTTTCTATCCCTGATAGCAGAGATAGCAGAGGTAGTTTAACGTGCGGAAGCTTCAAGTTTCACTTTCGAGAAGTAAACTGATGAGCAGCTTCACCCCACTTCAACTGTTGTCCCATTCTTTCGCCACCTTCGCCTTGGTTCCTATGGGTGGCGTCACCACCACCTCCGACCATAGATGAAAGTGCTACTGCAATTACCGACTTGAAATTCGGGTCGGACGTGATTGCGTTGGTTAGTGATTCTGTCAAAGACACCTGGGAAGAAGCTTGATGGATCTTTTCTGCATAAGTTTGATGGAAATGCTCTTGGGATGCCTTTCCAAGATTGTAGGATCCAACTTGAGTTTTGTCGGACAGTAGCAAGCCATATCTAAGGTATCCATTGCCCCAACTTATGGGCAAATTGTTGGAATCTGACGGGGAGCAAAAGCTTAGACTTGAAGGAAATGTGCTAGAAGAGGATGTAGAGGCAGTGAGGTCGAGAGTGATTGTGGGGAGCAAAGGGTGGGCAGATTTGGGCATGTAGAGTTGTGTTCTTGAGTTATCGAAGGCACGAAATTCTGATCCATTGATTAGGGTGGCTGTGGAATCGAAACCCGGGTGAGATGTGGAAGAGCCGGACAAAAGCATGGAAGCTGCGGCAGAGGTGGTGGAAGCCATGCAAGTGGCTGTGAATGGAAGTGGGTGGTTGTGAGTTCCTTCATAGGTGGTGATTAAGATGGACATATCCTCATAACATCTTTGCACCTGACATCATTTACAGGAGTAACATATTAGTTAATATGTCAAAAACAGTTTGGTACCACTCATAAAGGCTACATATAGGGTATGTAACTCAAGTAATTAAGAGCGTTTAGCCTTCTACATCTAAGATCATGTGTTCAAATCTTCCTCCCAATATCGCTTGTATCAAAAAATAAAAAATAAACCGAATCTATGAACTAAGGACCTGTTTGGACAACTCATGTTTGCAATACTTTACTTTCATAACGAAGATAACTATATGTGCGCACCTGCTTTCTCACAGGGCACGCTGGTGCAACTGTGCAGCGATAGTATGCTCGCGGGCATGGATTTCCTTTTGCAGTCTTCTGTCCATATTTTCTCCATTGGCATCCATCATTCATCTATATATAGGAAATCAAGTAGATATATTAATTAGATTTATTTTTTCTTACAATACTATATTATATGGGAGGGTGATTCGAAATTGAGTGTAAGAGGCGGGCAGACTACTCTAATCAACTAACCTAACCTACGTCTAAAAGTAAAAAGCCAAAATCATTGTAACAAAATGGATGTAGTTAAGTAAGAAGAATTGAAGAAATTATATACCGTTGGGGCATCACATCTTGTTCTCACAGAAACCCTAGCTCGTTTTGCATTGACCTGCGGTGGAGGTTCACCGTCTTCATTCCTCATCGTCTTCGGCGTTTTACTCGATGGCGGCGACGACGCTTCTCCACCTCCAGCTTCTGCATGATTCTTATTAGGTTCTTCCAAACTAGTCTCATCAGAACCTAATCCAAGAGTAAGATTGGCCTTCAAGTTCTCTTCACCATCATCAACTTGTGCAAGTTTTGTGAAGTTGCTGCCGGCAGTAGTTTCACGATCATTTTTAGGTTCCTTTGGACTTCTTCCAAGACAAAGAGACAAGAGCTCCTCCGGTTCTTCGATTATTCGATGACCCGCGACATTTACAGCTTTTTTGGAAGCCTGTTGCTTGAGGATGTCAAAAAACCGCAGCTGGAGAGAATGGTAATCCTTCTCCATATGATTTAACGCCATTTTTAATCTAGCATTTTCTTCCATCACCTCTCCCAATTCAGCTTTGGCATTATCAAGTTCACTCTCCTATATTGGTCATACATAAAACCGAAGGAAATAATCACTTGATTGAAAATCAAAATTAAATGGATATATACAACTTGATATTTGAAGAAATTAATGGTTCGTTTAGAAATGCTTTTAAAATAGCTGAAAGCGTTTTTGATGAAAATGTTTTTGGAACAAATTCTTAATAAAAATGCAAGTTCTTAATAAAAATGCAAGTTCTTTTGGAACCCAAAAACATGTTCTCTAAAAGCATTTTCAATCATTTTAAAAAATGTTTTCAAATGAGCCATAAGACTAAGCAATAGTTCCCAAAATTTAATCAGAAATTAGTGACAACAATATGAACATTTTATGATATGATCAGAAACTCTACATAAAAATACATAATTAAGAAAACTGAAAAAAAAAAAAAAGAAAAAAAAAAAAAAAGAAAGATTCTATTCTGAAAACTAGAATTTTCATAGAAAATGATGATCATATTCAACAACCATAATCCTAGCTAGCTAGATCAACTGATCTTATGAGAAAACATACAGAAATTAATCAAAACCAAAATTAATTTGCAACAAAGAGAAGAAGGTATAACTGTATATTTACTTACCTTTCTTAAATCCCGACTGTGAACCTTCCTGATATCCAACAGATTGATCAACTTTCTTTTCTGCAGATGATGATCTGCCATTGGAGTTCAGCATTCTCAATTGCTTTTTATTTTAATAGATGGGATTAAGCCATAACTTTCAGACTTGGTATAAAAGCAAATTTGAAATCCAGTGATCATCTGGTTGCCCCGTTGCGTAGGCACACACAAAATGTCAACTCTCTGCAACCCCTTTTTTATTTTACTTTTTCTAGATTAAACTAACAAATAAATTAACAATAAGATTTTAATAAATTTCAACATTTTCCACAGCAGATGAACAAATTAATGTGCTTAGAGAGAGCTGAATTTCCGGGCACCAATTGTACTACAGATAATTTATATCAGAATTGTTATTAGCATTTAAAAAAACTCATTTGGCATTACAATTTTTTTAATAATTAGAAAGAAAAATGCACATGCAAAGAGTATAGAATGAGATTTTTAAAGTGTTAATAACAGTTCTCATTTATATATATATATATATAGAGAGAGAGAGAGAGAGAGAGAGAGAGAGAGAGAGACACACACACACACACACACATATACACATATGAGTAGTGCAGTTCGTCTTTGAAACGTACAAGGGAGGCGTCACATGGCAAAGAGTCAAGGTATACGAATTTTAAGTATTTGAGTGTGAGTCGTCAGTCGTGTGACCTTCTAGACTTCTAGTATATATTGATGCTGCAGTGCAGACTGTAGCCTCTATATTTAAAGACTGTATATTATAACCTAATATATATTCGTTGTCTGCAATCAATTGTCATACACGGTGAGAGACTTGAGAATTCACTCATCTATAAATTTCCATTGATTTGACCTATTTGGGTTGTATATACGTTAGAGAAATCAAACTAAAGGTTGATACGTCGTGGTGGATGACAATGTTACCACCAATCCATTTTCTTCGTTGAACGGAAGGTTGATAAATCGTCGGTATATAATATTTCATAGTAAAGCATTCTGAAGTAATAATATTTGTAACTATCCATACAAAATTCTCCTTTAACAAAAAATGGACGCCTTGTACAAAGTTATTCAGAATTTTGGTAGCATGTTCTATAAGATTTGCAATCTTACAACATCTATTTCATTGGTTTTTGAGATATATATATATATATATATATATTCATAATTTTGTTCTAACAAAAACATTAATTGCAAGCATCCTATATATGACCAATTTCCTATGAGGTGAGAAATGGTTTAATTTTCATGTAGCTGCTAATATTGCATAGGAAAATTTTATTCAAATCCTTATAACCTATTTCTACACCCAACTTATTTTTTATACCCATATTATTTTTAATTAAATATCTCTTTAATCCCATCTTCTCAACTTAAAAAAAAAAAAATTGAAATCAAACAAAAAAAATTGCATAAATCAATTCATACCTTAATTGGAAGATTTAAAACTTTAAAACATCATTCATCGATAAAAAAAAGCTTGTTTTCTCTATAAGAGCTCTTATGATTTAGCCAGAATGAACATATATAAGATAAACATTGTTTGAAGCTAAGGTTTAATTATTGAGTGTGGGTTTATGGATAAATTTTAGTTTAATTGTTGATCTTTTCATGTACTTGATGGTAATTATGCAATATGGTAAGAAAAGTTTAAATTGAGTGTAGAAAATATATGAGTTCAAATTAAATTTTTCTATTGCATTATGATTATGATAAACTAAGCTTAAAACCTAACTGTTTCAGCTCTTCTGGCCAAAATTTAATTAATTATCTCGGGATCTGAGTACCAGGAGTACTTCTAATAATTGGTTTGGGTCTACGCATACAAATCTCATCCATTGAAGATTGACAGATAAGTGAATATTATATGTGTGTGATCTTTTGAAACTGTAACCCTATAAATATATATTGATCTTTTGAAACTATAAGATGACTATCGTATTAAAAATTAAACCGATTGTTATGGTTGATCTTAAATAATCAAATAATTAAACTCATCTGAAACGAAATTGTGTTTGTACACACACGACTTTGAGGCTTTGTATTTATTGCACACCCTAACGGTATGGTTACCTAAAATCATTTTATGTAAAACCATCAGATCCTATCACCGCTATTGATCAGCTGAATTTGTATGACTATGAGAGGATTCTAAATATTTAAGAAGTGCTTATAATTGAGGATGGAATTTTTAGATCATCTGGGTAATCAGCAGGGCAAGCCGGCCATTTCAGAAATTCAGAATGGAACAAATCAATCGTGCGTGTGAGCTTTTCATCTCAAGGTTAATCTCAATGATTTGAAATTTGAACTACCCAAAGGCAAAACCTCAGTATTGGAAGGTTCTTACCTCCTAAAATTTAATTACCTTCTAATCATTATTTTAGGATGTTAACAACCTTCTTACTACCTTCTTGTTTTACTTTCTCAGCTCTTCTTTTTATCTTGAAATTTTGTTTTATGATTGGAACGTGTAATTTATCTTGAAATTTCTGCATGATTTTTATTAGGTTCTTCCAAACTAGTCTCATCAGAACCTAATTCAGGAGTAAGATTGGCCTTCAAGTTCTCTTCACCATCATCAACTTGTGCAAGTTTTGTGAAGTTGCTGCTGGCAGTAGTTTCACGATCACTTTTAGGCTCCCTTGGACTTCTTCCAAGACAAAGAGACAAGAGCTCCTCCGGTTCTTCGATTATTCGATGACCCGCGACATTTACAGCTTTTTTGGAAGCCTGTTGCTTGAGGATGTCAAAAAACCGCAGCTGGAGAGAATGGTAATCCTTCTCCATATGATTTAACGCCATTTTTAATCTAGCATTTTCTTCCATCACCTCTCCCAATTCAGCTTTGGCATTATCAAGTTCACTCTCCTATATATTGGTCATATATAAAACCGAAGGAAATAATCAATTGATTGAAAATCAAAATTAAATGGATATATACAACTTGATATTTGAAGAAATTAATGGCTCATTTGAAAATGCTTTTAAAATGGCTGAAAACGCTTTTGATGAAAATGTTTTTGAACAAATTCTTAATAAAAATGCAAGTTCTTTTGGAACCAAAAAAACATTTTCTATAAAAGCGTTTTCAAACATTTTAAAAATATTTCCAAATGAGCCCTAAGACTAAAGCATAGTTCCCAAAATTTAATCAGAAATTAGTGACAACAATATGAACATTTTATGATATGATCAGAAACTCTAGGTAAAAATACATAATTAAGAAAACTGAAAAAAAAAAAAAATTCTATTCTAAAAACTAGAATTTTCATAGAAAATGATGATCATATTCAACAACCTCAACCATAATCCTAGCTAGCTTGATCAACTGATCTTATGAGAAAACATACAGAAATTAATCAAAACCAAAATTAATTTGCGACAAAGAGAAGAAGGTATAACTGTATATTTACTTACCTTTCTTAAATCCCGACTGTGAACCTCCTGATATCCAACAGATTGATCAACTTTCTTTTCTGCAGATGATGATCTGCTATTGGAGTTCAGCATTCTCAATTGCCTTTTATTTTAATAGATGCGGTTAAGCCATAACTTTCAGACTTGGTATAAAAGCAAATTTGAAATCCAGTGATCATCTGTTTGCCCCATTGCGTAGGCACACACAAAATGTCAACTCTCTGCAACCCCTTTTTTATATTACTTTTTCTAGATTAAACTAACAAATAAATTAACAATAAGATTTTAATAAGTTTCAACATTTTTCACAGTAGATGAACAAATTAATGTGCTTAGAGAGAGCTGAATTTGCGGGCACCGATTGTACTACAGATAATTTATATCAGAATTGTTATTAGCATTTTAAAATACTCATTTGGCATTACAATTTTTTTATAGTTAGAAAGAAAAATACACATGTAAAAAGTATAGAATGAGATTTTTAAAGTGTTAATAACAATTTCTAATTTTATATATATAGACGCACACACATATGAGTAGTGCAGTTCGTCTTTGAAACGTACAAGGGAGACGTCACATGGCAAAGAGTCAAGGTATACGAATTTTAAGTATTTGAGGTGTGAGTCGTCAGTCGTGTGACCTTCTAGACTTCTAGTATATATTGATGCTGCAGTGCAGACTGTAGCCTCTATATTTAAAGACTGTATATTATAACCTAATATAATACATATTCATTGTCTGCAATCAATTGTCATACACGGTGAGAGACTTGAGAATTCACTCATCTATAAATTTCCATTGAATTGACCTATTTGGGTTGTATATACGTTAGAGAAATCAAACTAAAGGTTGATACGTCGTGGTGGATGACAATGTTACCACCAATCCATTTTCTTCGTTGAACGGATGGTTGATAAATCGTCGTTATATTATATTTCATGGTAAAGCATTTTGAAGTAATAATATTGATACACTATCCATACAAAGTTCTCCTTTAACAAAAAATGGACGCCTTGTACAAAGTTATTCAGAATTTTGATAGCATGTTCATCATTCATCGATAAAAAAAAGCTTGTTTTCTCTATAAGAGCTCTTATGATTTTAGCCAGAATGGAACATAAGATAAACATTGTGTGAAGCTAGGGTTTAATTATTGAGTGTGAGTTTATGGATAAATTTTAGTTTAATTGTGGATCTTTTCGTGTACTTGATGGTAATTATGCAATATGGTAAGAAAAACAATTCACATTTAAAATTTAAATTGAGTGTAGAAAAAAGTTATGAGTTCAAATTAAAAGTTATATGAGTACCAGGAGTACTTCTAATAATTGGTTTGGGTCTACGCATACAAATCTCATCCATTGAAGATTGACAGATAAGTGAATATTATATGTGTGTGATCTTTTGAAACTGTAACCCTAAAAATATATATTGATCTTTTGAAACTATAAGATGACTGTTGTATTAAAAATTAAACCGATTGTTATGGTTGATCTTAAATAATCAAATAATTAAACTTATCTGAAACGAAATTGTGTTTGTATACACATGACAGGCTTTGTATTTATTGCACACCCTAACGGTATGGTTACCTAAAATCATTTTATATAAAACCATCAGATCCTATCACCACTATTGATCAGCTGAATTTATATGACTATGAGAGGATTCTAAATACTTAAGAAGTGCTTATAATTGAGGATGGAGTTTTTAGGTCATCTGGGTAATCAGCAGGGCAAGCCTGCCATTTCAAAAATTCAGAATGGAACAAATCAATCGTGCGTGTGAGCTTTTCATCTCAAGGTTAATCTCAATGATTTGAAATTTGAACTACCCAAA